TTTAACTCGCTCAACAGATCCATCTCTTCTTTACTTAGTCCTCTTAAGAAGTTTTCTTCATCTTGTTGTAGTTCTTTAAAACCTTCTGCCAACCTCTGAAACAAGGTCCTTTCAGTCTTCCCAACCCTCTCTAACTCTCTTCCATCTGTTCAACTTCCCTTATGATGGTCTGCCCTCCTTTCTCTACTTTCTTTTCAAGTCTTTCTACAAGGGGAGGCTCTGACCCACATGTATTATCTATTCTGATGAATTTGTTAAAAGTCTCGCCCTACATTTTTAGCTGCCCTTTCAAGTTCTGGCACAATGCTTTCAGGCAAAATGACACTTATTGTGTAGACAATGGCACCTCCATATCCATCCCCCCGTAATATACAAATATATAATCATCCTATTTGTTCTCAATTTTGAATGATATAATATACCTGCATATTAATTTAACCAGTGAGTCCAAAAGCAAAAATATTATGACAAAAGGCCTAATCAACAGTGAGAATGTCAGAAAACTTGTATAGAGGCTGTTACCGTTGGGGATCACTATAGCTTTGATATAATTTGTTGGGCTAAGAAGCCTCAATCCAATCATACCAGTGAAAATAAAATTAAATAATCAATCAATCAGAGATAGTAATTTAACGTGATTTAGTTCAATCGACTTATGTCTACGAATGAAAAATAAAATTCACTAGTTGTAGAGAATTACAAATATACAAATCAAATCATCAATCTCTTAACAATCAATACTCATAAGACCCTCTCAATCTCCTCTAGTATTACAAAGTATTTTCAACCTAAACAAATATATACTCATGTGCACCCTTGCAACACAACCAAACACGTACCTATATGCATCCATATATCATACTTATGTGACCCTCTTAATCTTTTCTAGTCCATTCCCAAATATTTAAATATATACACTCATAAGACGTAAATCCCCAATACTCTTATAAGGTATCTATCGCACAAAATCTTACAACTCTTTTACATCTTTTCTCATACCTAATCCTGTAAAGACTTTACTTATTTATAACCATATAAACTTAACTATTAAAAATCTCTTTCCTTTTAAAAATTTTCTTTTGTAAGTCAAATTTACATATTAAGAATCTTTTTTTTTTAGAATTATTCTATAAGTATTCTTATCCATCAAATAATATCTAATAAATTTCAAACAATTCTCTTACGAAATTTGAGTCATTATTCTTAACAGTTACAGCAATTGCCTGGGTTGAAGAAACGCTAATTCAAGATAATTCAATCTGTATTGATAGTTTTATGTGACCGAAGTGCGTTTCCATCCACAATGAAGCTATGACATTCGCTGGTTATTTCTAAAAGTAAAATCATGATGCTAGTGCACCATAAGCTCTACTTGCAAAGCATTAGGTATGTGCCATAAATGCTGCCATAAGCTCTCAACTATATGGACAAAAAACAGCAGGAATCTGCATCTCAGGCTGCATTTGTCTGTCAAGTGGCATTTGTAACGTAAGGAGATAGTGACCAAATTGAACTGCCTCGCTAAGAATTTCAGCCTCATCTATGTTCATGCTGAACTTTCTCACTGTCATCAGATTTGTTCTCTTACCATCCTTTCTATATACTTTAATTCAGAAAAAAAAAATGTCTTGAACATCTTGCTTTATCAATTTTCTTTTTTTTTTTTTGTCTTCAAATGCAGAAATACAAGCTAGCAGATGATTTATATCATCGTATTTCACCTTCTGATAGCATCAAATTATAATTTTATGCACATAGATGTGAAATGCTTCTGCCTTGGTGTCATCCAGTGGTGTTAGTGGTATCAAGTGGTTGAATGTTTATGTGAAATGCTTTCTGGTATCAAAACAAGAAAGTAGACCCACATGAGACATGAATGTGTTACTAGTTCAAATCAAGCTTTCCTGCTAATTATTTGGTCCAATTAATAACCTCAAATATGACTGAACAATTAATATTCAGGATATACTTACCTAGTGGATGTTAGTAGTTGTAAGCCAAGTGGTCAATATTCATACCCTTCCAGAAAAGTTTTATTACTAGTTTTGGAAGTGGTATACTCAAAAGATATATAAAGGAATGGACTTTACCAGGCATCTTGATAGTGAAGGTACTCATTGTCATGGTTGTAAAGATCCCAGGGTGGTTTGGATCTTGCACAAATCTCTGCATTGCTGATCGAGTGAAAAAGCCATCATCCGGCATTCGTATTCTCCAAGAGAAATTCCCTACAAGTTTGCCAGCTTCTGTTTGGAATTCGTGCAGCTGGCAGTCAAAAACAGTTTCCCACCGAAATCTGCAATGTTGAAGTTTTCATCAGGAACAGCAGGGGATTGGGGACTGGGAATTCCCCTCTATCATAGTAAAATATACCAATGAAATGCACTTTAAGCAACCGACTGTCTGTCATTCAGAAAACCATACAAAATCATCTGAAATAAACTTCCTATTTCAGCAATAATTCTTTTGAGCATTTAAAAGAAGCAGTCATCCACCAGCACTTGTTCACAACAATCACAGTAGACTCCCTCTGATACCTCCATTACTGGATCAACAAAAGGAATGAGCCAAAAAGAAGCAAAACAGTCAAAAGAAAAGCACCCAATTGCCTGGTTTACCATATCTGAAACAAATTATCAACCAATAAATTAAAACCATTTTCCTACCAAACAAATTCCATAGGAAAATTTAGCAACAGCTACTGAATTTCAAGATAATGAATCATATCCATTTCCTATCAAACAATGACATAAGGAAGTTGCATCTTTCAAAATCCAATGATTAAGATCTTGTACTTGCTAGAAAATGATAAAACTTTTGTAATGCACTTAAATATTTTTACAGTTAATCAAAGACTATATATATACAAAAAAAGAAAACACAAAAATTAAGAAAAAGGGGTGAATTTATTGAGGAGAAAGAGGGAAAAGAACTGACTTTAGACTTAGTTAATGAAGCAGAAAAAAATGGCGGATTCTTTTTTTTTTAAATGTTAGTTATGGTTATAAAAGGGAGACACGAGGCAGGGGATGTTAACAGAAAGCAACAAAGGGCGGCAACAAGTCAAGCCAACAACGTGTGTTAGCAAGTTCCTCTGTGAGTGAACTTAGGATAAAACAATGTTTGCGAGTTAATTTCTTGGATTTATAAAATTCCACAATTTAAAAAAAAAATCCATTGCTTTAACGCTAAAAGTCAAGGAAAATATCAAACAGTTTGGTTAACTTCATTATCTAAGCAATCTAAGTTGAACAAGTCTTATGATTGATAATCATTGAAAATTTAAAATTTAATCATTTTATTTTTTTAATGCGTTTGACAAATTAATTTTAAAAATTATTAAATGAAAAATTTTCAATGAAAAAGCATTGGAAAAATTACTTAATTACATTAATCTTATATTTTTTTCTTTTTAGTTTTTATCAATTGAAAATAATTATTAAACTGTATCTTCTTTTTTTTTTTTTTAAAGATTAATAAAAAAATTTATTAAACATTTAATTTTAGTAATATAACAAACAATTTTTATCAACCATTTATATTTAAAATTTTCAAAACTGAAAATTTAACACTTAATTTTTTTCAGTGTTAAATTTATGCAATCTATCAAACAAACACTATCTATTAAGTTATTGTTCAATCGATTAGCATCAAGTGGAAAAACTCAATTTGAATATAAAATTATAAAAAAATTCATATTTCTTATATGTGAGATTCAAATATAGATTCACATATAAAAAGAAATTATATATTTATTACATGTGAGATTTTCGTATAAAATTATAAGAAGTTAAATATTTATTACACGTGAGATCCATTTATATCAGAGATTAATGAAGTCTATTACTTGACAAATATGAAAAGAAAAACAAAAAAAAAAATCCTGATTCTAATATGCATCTAACTTAAAATCAAATATATTATATGAAGAGATACATCTTAAATATAAAATTATAAAAAATTAAATATTTATTCGATATGGATAATACCACTTTAATAATAAAAATAAGGACAGTTGGCATTATGCTAAATGTAAAAAGGATGACGATTTGATCCATACACCAAGTCTCAAAATTCTCAGAGACAATTTCCGTACAAAATTTGGAAAATCTAAAATTAATCCGGCCATGAAAGCCATGAAAATTCACGTGGAACAAAAAAATAGCCATGCTTTTGACATTCCTCTCGACATCTTCAAGGTTTCAGGATTAATACTAGACGATAAAAGGACAAATTTTCCTGTAATTTTTTAATGCAAAATTAATCATGCCATAAAACCTTGCTAAGTTCATGAAAACCTTTCAAGGTTTTGAAGGTTGTAGCTGTAAGAAACAAGCAAAAACAGACAAGAATTTTTATCCTATTTTTTCAACGATGGTGTCTAGGATAATAATGGTCTATATAAATATATTTTTGGTTGGATTTTTTTTCCCATGAAAGTAACTTTAATTTTTTTCGACTATCACATTTGCAAATACTGATTTTTCTTCCTCATGCAAAAATCATACTCAAGGAACATGAAAATGGCCTCGTTTTCATGGTTGAAACTTGCATTATTTTGCATTAGCAGCTTCTTCATTTATGCCTTCTCTTTTGGTTCTCCTTCCCCAGATGATCCATCAGGTTTTTTTTTTTTTTTTCTTTTTTTTTGTTTTATGCATTAGATTGATCATTGCATGAGATGAACATTCAAGTTATTAGATTAAAATAATTCTTCGTTATTCTTCTTTCAGATTATTATCTTTCATCTTTTGATCGGCATTTCTTAAGTTACAAGTAAAAATAATTATAGTAGTAGAACCCCAGATTTATACCAGGTTAATTCTCAATGCATAGAGCTGAATTTTCGTGGAACGTCTCAAAACCATTCAATTGATGCATTGCATTTTGATGATTTCCCTAAACATGAAAATTGAAATGGTTAACAGTTTAAAATATTCAGCATAGTGTGTGGAAATGGTTTTTCTTTTTCATTTTTACCTTGGCCTTGACAAGTTCCAATGGTTGCAGCATGTATGTTGAACTTTACTTCATACCCTTACCAACCAAGTGGTGACTGCATAGGCGACCACGAAAAGATAAAGCTCTGGGGTAGCATCTCTTCAACTCTCTGCTGTCGAAATGCCCTCATCGCCTTCTCTGAGGCCCTTGCAGTGCAATTACATAGAACAAATGGTGACATCTTTGTTCAACGAGGTGCTTGGAGAAAATGTGATGGTCCTTTTCTTAGGCAAGAATCAGTGTCCATACATTCTTGTGGCTTTGATGACTTTTACTATGGCAATAGCCAATGCTCAAGTCTATCTCTGACAGAGATTAAGAGTGAGCCATCGTACCAAGACGCATTAAAAGCTTGCTCAAATATTGGTTCTTCATTTGATGATTCATGCAAAAAATGCACTGATGCAATACGAAATGCAGTGGAGAACCAACTGGAACTACTGCAAAGGGAAAAAAATCATACTGAAAGAGCAATATGTGGATTAGCAGTTGTTATTTCAGTTGCTGCTCCAACAGTTGATAATCACCCTTTCATTGCTGATTTGTTCAGCTGTATGTCTTCTTTAGATGATTTAGGTAAGAATCAGAAATCAGGTAGTATCACTTTTGTCTCCTTTTCAATTATTTTGTTCTGACCTAGAACTGTACTGTTTTGCCTAACAGATCCTGGCTACAGCAAAAAGAAATGTAAGTTCAACCATTTTTCTACTTTTTACTATTGAATACAAATCAAGGGCTATTAGGCTTTGACATAGCGGGAGCAACCTTTAGAGATTACTTTTCTCTATTTATTTCTGCCGATATGCATTTGTTTGTGACATGCTAACCAAATTGAAACATGTAACTTTGTTACTCTATGTAGTCTTTTCAACCTCTAATACTCACTGACATGATATATCAGGTGCCCTGGCAAAAGTACCAGCCTCTGTTGTTATAGTGATCATCATACTAATGCTGATCTTTATTCTGGGAAAATATGTGACCATGAGGAAGAGGAAGTGCAAGAAACAACTTCCTAAAGCTGTCAAATCAAAAGAGTCTAATAAGTGTTCCGGCCTCTACAGTTTCTCCAAGGATGAGATCGAGAATGCAATGAGTTGTAATAGGAAAAGAAAGAGCCTAGGCAAAGGAAGCGCTGGTGAAGTTTATGAAGGCGTTCTTCCTAGTGGACAGGTTGTGGCCATCAAGCACATAAACAAAAGCAAATCCCCTGATTCTTTTAAAAGAGAAGTTGCAGGTCTCTCCCGGATTCGACATCCAAACCTTGTTTCTATGGTTGGTTGCTGCATTGACGATGATGAGCAGTATCTGGTGTTGGAATATTGCTCTGCTGGGAATCTTGCTCAACATCTCCTAAGTAATCTTGCCTGATTATTATTTGTTGTGCACTACTGTTAGAATCATTGAAATACTTTTACCTCTCAGAAGCATGAGAACCTGAGTTTGCAAGATGATTACTAGTGGTTAATTCCTTTATTGGAGAGTGCTATTTCAATGTCTCAGATGGCTAGGATCGCGCTCCTGACACATGGTGAGCCTCACCATGCTAGAGAAAAGGTTGCGCGGTCCAACCACTTTGAGTGCAGATTGCAGAAATAGCTCCCCCTTTACGTGCTTCTTTCATAGTCTTAAAAAACTACTTTTTTCCTTGTTCAGGCAAAGACAGTGGCTTGACATGGGAAAAACGAGTTAAGATCCTAAGAGACTGTGCATTTGCATTGAGGTATCTCCACCATTATATGGATGGATGCATTGTTCACAGAGATATTAAGGTGCAAGAACTCTTGAACCACTGTTCATGACAAAAAACACACATCACAGATGGATTGTTTAGATTAGAAATAAGTGCAACTGAATGTCTGTTTATGAACTCAATTCTTGTTTAATTTTTTTTCCAACTTCATGTTTGCTTTACAGCTTACTAACATACTCTTGACTGAGGATTTTGAGCCCAAGCTCTCTGATTTTGGGCTGGCAAAGATTCTGGGAATTGAAGAGAGCAAAGTGTTTACAGATGTTAGAGGAACCATAGGCTACATGGATCCAGAATACATGATCAATGCCAAGCTAACCTGTGCGAGTGACATTTACAGCTTCGGTATTGTTGCTTTGCAGATTCTGTCAGGACAAAAGGTCTTTGAATTGGATCTTGATGCCAGTAATCAGCTCACAAGAAAAGTAATCATCAGCCATTGCCCTTTCTAATTCTTCTGAGTTGACCAAAAAGAACTAGTATTCTTACCCACTTTAATTCTGAGCAGGCAAAAGATGTGAGCATGGGAAAACGTCCATTAACAGATTTTGAAGATCCCAGGCTAGAGGGTAATCTCAACAGGGTGGACTTTGAATCAATCTTGCAAATTGCAGTCCTTTGTGTTGCTAAATCAAGTGCAGGCCGGCCAACTATTGATATTGTCTTTGATGAGATGGAAAGGGCTTGGAAAAACACTTTGGCTCACATGGTTCGGTTACATTCATATTTAAGGCCATTTTTTCACATAAATACTATCTTGAATAGAGGATAAAATGTTCTGTTTTGCATTATGTGCAGAAAGCAAAGAATGGAATAAATTCATCAGAAACACCCACCTCGGTATCCCTCGAAGTGATAACAGTTTGACATAACAGCTTTGAGGATCAAGTTGGATTTGCATAAGCTGTGGAGCCTTTCATCCATTATAAGTCTTGATCTTATATATTGGACTCTAATATACTTTTATCATGGGAAAACATTTTCAAACTGCGAAAAGTTTTCCATACCCCAATATCTTGACATCAAAATGAAGTTTGAGTATGAGTGTTACTGTGATCAGTTTGTTTTCTGCTTATGTACTTGAAAATTGAACAATCAATTCATTAAGGACTCAATCATTAATATCTGTGGGAAAACACTTATTTACAGCTGGTTATAATCTTGTAATTTGTATATTTATATTTGTATCTCTAGAATTAAGTATTTGTATCCCTAGAATTAAGGAAGATTTAGTTTCCTAGTTTAACCCCTAGTTAGTTGTATATAAACCTAAGATTCTTGTATAATTAAAAATAAACAGTTTTTTAATATACATTCAGTTTCCACAATATCATATTGGGTTCCTTATGCTAGATAATGTCAAAGAAAGTAAGGCAAAGAAACAAAAGTCAAACTGTCAAAAGAAAAGTCTCAAATTTTCTTAGTCTACCATTTTTGAAACAAATGAATCTAGCAAGTGCAGGAAGAAGTACATAATTTCAAGATATTGCAGCATATACAAAACCAGAGAGAAGTGAGGTTTATAAAATGTGAGACAGTGAGAGGGCTAGTTTCCATTGTATTGTCCAAAGATCATATGTACAAAATACATTTCCCTTCCTTTTCTCTCTTCTAGTTTCTTTTCTCCATCAGCCGCTACCACCACTTCTTACAAAATAAAATAAGGGTTGAAACACTTAAAAAAGGATTAAAATATCTTTAAGTCCATGTGAGCTATGGATCATATCCACAAAGGAGGAAACATGACCCAACATGATTCCTTTAACAAGCCTTAAATTTTCAAATGCCAACTTTTTGCTGCAATCTTTGAAACATCAGGTTCAATCATTAATGTGGGACAAAATTACTACACTATGTAAAATAATGGTGACTTTTTCTTGGATTTCAAGAAGAAGATGATGATAATAAAGTACAACCATAATCATTATGTTTTTAAGATTCTTTGATTGGATTAAATGTGTTTTCATACATAAAAATCTTTAAATTGGAGTTAATATCAACGAAAATTTTGTTATCAGTTCACCCTAAACCACAGTTTTCTTTGCTTTTTAAGTACAATATGTTAAGATACCAAGCAGATATACTGATAAAATGCCTACTGGTGACAATCCCAAGGTTTGTAATTCAACTGTAAGAATCTAGCTAACATTCTAGAATATCCTGTTTTTGTTTCTTAAATGATAGTCACTAGAAAACCAATGTTCTATAAATAAGCAGTTGGATTTTCTCCAATGGAAATTTCAGCTTTTCACTTTTGCATATTTCATTCTTCTTCTCCATGAAGTAATCTTTATAGGTCTAGCATAGCAGGCAAAACGACATGAAAACACTTCATCCTAGGCTGAAACTTGCTACCTTCTCCTTTAGCAGCTTCTTTTTCTATGCCTTTGCTTTTGGTTCTACTTCAACAGATGCAGCAGGTTCCTTTTCTTTTCTGTGTTGCTTAATCCATTTTTTTTTTTGTTTCAATGAATTTTCACTTTTTCTTTTAGTCCTGGATTTAAGCCTGCAGTGCACATTTTCATTCGTTCTGGAGTAATTTATCACTCTAGTTTCTATATCACAGTTTTTGCCCACCTGAGTTCCCCTTGTGGTTGAATTAGACATTTTAGACACATGTTTTCTCTTTTTTATTCAACAATTTTTGATTGAAGATAATAACAGGTATTTTCCAAAGACAAATTCGGAGCATGAGGACAAAAATGCTTAGTGTTTTTAATTCTGCATGTTAGGTGAAAGCAATTTTTTCTAAGCTGTGACAATGTTTCTATGGTTTGCAGACTGTGTCTTGAATTTCACTTCATACCCTTACCTACCAAGTGGTCACTGCATTGGGAAAAACGAGAAGGTCAAGTTATGGGGCACTATCTCCTCGAATCTTTGCTGTCAAAACGCCCTTAATGCCTTCTCTCAAGTTCTTGCAGCTCGGGCTAATGACACACAAGACAGTTTAATCTTGGTTGACCAAGATTCTTGGAGAAAATGTAATTCTCCTTTTCCAAGCCAAGAATCAGTTTCCATACAGTCTTGTGGATTTGACAATTTCTACTCTGAAAGTAGCAAGTGCTCAAGCCTATCTCTATCTCAAATTCAAGGCAATCCATTTTACCTGCAAGCAGTAGACTTATGTTCTGACTTAAGTTCATCCTTTGACATTACCTACAAAAATTGCACTGATGCCATAGCAAAGGTAGTGGAGAATCTATTGGAAGTATCACAAGTGCAACAAAACAATACTGAAAGAACAATATGTAATTTAGCAGTAGTTATTTCAGTTGCAGCTGCGAATGCTACTGATAGCTCTTTTGGTGCAAATTTATTTAGCTGTATGTCTTATTTAGATGATTACGGTAAGGACCAGAACTTAAGTAGAACTTTTTCTGCCTTATGTTCAATTCCCTAAGCTGACTTTGAGCTTTTTTTTTGTTTTCCATAACAGATCCAAGCTACTTCAAACTCAAAAGTAAGTTGAATTTCTCATCTCAGTCTCTTGCTGTTGATTTGATTCTGTATGAGCCATGTTACCATTGAAAATTATATATTTTTTTTCATTTTTGCCTTATAACCTCAAAATCTCACAGAAATCATTTATCAGGGACCTTGGCAAAAGCACTAGTTGAGGTCTTTGTACCGATCATAGTACTATTTCTGATCTTTGCCTTAGTAAATTGTGCGACCTTAACGAAGAGCAAGAGCAAAAGAGAACTTCCTAAACCTATTCCATCCAAGAACATCACTACATGGCCTGGCCTCTACAGGTTCTCCAAAGCTGAGATTGAGAATGCTATAAGCAATAGCAACAGAAGAAAGAGTTTAGGCAGAGGAAGTGCCGGTGAAGTCTTTGAAGGCATTCTGCCTAGTGGACAAGTTGTGGCCATCAAGCAGATAAAGAAAAGCAACTCCTCTGATTCTTTTACTAGGGAAGTTGCAGGTCTTTCCAGGATTCGACATCCAAACCTTGTTTCTCTACTTGGTTGCTGTATTGAAGGTGATAAGCAGTATTTGGTCTTGGAATATTGTCCTGCAGGGAATCTTGCTCAGCATCTCCTAAGTAATTTTTCCTGAACCATTACACGTTACTTTGTGCTATTTTTCTTTTCACCCCAAATTGCAGTTGTCAAGCTTGAAGGAATGTGTCTTTGCTGTCTGGTGGATGAAAATAGCACCCCTCATCTTCCTTTTCTTTTTGTTTTAAGCCACATCCTATGTTTCCTTTCCAGGGAAAGATGTCATCTTGCCATGGGAAAGAAGAGTTAAGATCCTAAGAGACTGTGCACTTGCGCTGAGGTATCTCCACAATTATATTGATGGATGCATTGTCCATAGAGATATTAGGGTAACATAGATCATATGCTACTGATCTGTCTCTGTAAAAGCAATTGATTGTTCATATTCATAAAATTAATTCTTTAATTTTTTTTCCCAATGCTGCATATTTGTCTCATAGCTCACAAACATCCTCTTGACTGAAGACCTGGAGCCTAAGCTATCGGATTTTGGGTTGGCAAAGCTGATAGGAATGGAGGAGAGCAAAGTATTCACAGATGTTAGAGGAACAATAGGCTATTTGGATCCAGAATACATAAGCAATGCAAAGCTGACAAGTGCCAGTGATATCTACAGCTTTGGAATTGTGGCCTTGCAACTTCTGTCAGGACAGAAAGTTATTGAGTTGGATCTTGATGCCAGTGAACAGCTGACACGAAAAGTACTTATTTCCCTCAATTCCTCACATCTGATCAGTAAGAAATACAAACATTGTGTAACCACAATTTGAATATCCTGTAGGCAAAGGATGTGAACAAGGGAAAACGTCCATTAACAGATTTTGAAGACCCAAGGCTACATGGGAATCTCAATAGGGCAGATTTCAAAGCCATCCTACAAATTGCAGTCCTCTGTGTAGCCCAATCAAGTAGAGGCCGGCCACCAATTGATGTTGTTTTTGATGAGATGGAGAAGGCTTGTAAAAACACTGTGGTAACATTTAATTCCATCCTTTCTTTACTGCTTATATAATCAGTTGAAGTATGATGGAAGATAGCTTCTAATGACTTCTTTATGTGCAGAAATTGAGGAAGGAAATTGGTCCATTAGCAACACGTCAGTCACAGTCCATGGAAGTGATTTCTGTTTGACATATAAAGTACTTCTCGTCAATTATCCAATCACAATAAAAATATTATGTAAGAATCCACCAACTCATGTAAAATTTTGATGTAATATAATGGTTATAGGTGATATATTCTCAAATTCTTGCATGCTGCAAAAGTCTATCCCATGTGAGCTTCCTGAAATATACAGCATAAAATCATCAAATTTTGTAATTCTTCTTTAAAAATTATAGACTTGGTTTTGAAGTGTCTCACAAACGAGGATCCAATGTACTAAGAAAGGAAAATCATTAAGTGCTTCAGTGTTTTGTTTTGAAGGTCCAATGTGTTTCAGATAGTCAATAAACATAACCAGCATATCACAAATGAAGATTGATAGAATGTTGCTACCTGATTACGATGGACAGGAGCCAAAAAACATGATAGGAACTGTTGAGCATCTCATTTTTCCCATCTATTATTCATGAAACAACAAAATACAATAATATCTAGAATTATCAGCATTAGTTCTACTGCAAGCACAGTCAATCAAAACTGGAAAATTATATGATCTGTATTAAGTTGAGATTATGACCTCAACTTTGTACAATTTTTAGGATAATTTGGATTCCATGGCACCAGAGGTTTGCTTGATATTATGGATTCCAATTGAACATAAAAAAACACATTTGGCATCAGTATTATAGGGCATAATTATGCAATCTGGAATCATTTAGGTGTTTAGAAGGGGTCAGGTTTAGGGTTTATGTCAGTGATGAACTTAAAGTCTCAATACTCCTCAATCCTATAATTTGTATATTCATAATAAGACTTACGACACTGATTTTTTTAAAAATAATTTGGCTTCCCCTATTTTTATTGATTACCATAGCTCATGGCTGTAAACCTGGCAAGAAAATAGTTGGCACAGAGTTTTCCTTTCCTCCTGCCCCTGATGGTGGATTCCGGGTTTCCTGTGTACTTCATTCTCAATCTTAGTTGATCTTTACAATTCCCTGAAACTAGTTAGCTGTTAGTTAAAGAAAATGAGGGAGATAAGCACATTTTCAGTAAATTGATTGGAAATGCTAAGTATATCAGTCACCCAATTTGACATAATAATTTAAAATCTCACAATATTACAATAAAAAATTGATAAAAAAACCAAAGTGACATAAATTAAAATTTTAATAAAAATTATATATAAATTTAATAAAAATTAAAAAATAAAAATTACCATAATGCATCGAAAATGAGTTAATAATTAGTGCAATTAATTCAAAGCTCGAATTTTGTTATGACTTATCATATTAATCATAATAAATGAAAATTTATTCTTAAATTATTCAAGCAAAATGGTAGCGCAGAGTTGTGAATTTGAGCCTAGACTGTCATAATGCAATTTCTTTTTTCAAAAAGTAAATTTTTGTACACCTTATCAAGTTCTTTATTTTATTATTATGGATCACGTGAAGCATTTAGGGAGAATTCTCCCCCTATATATATATATTTTTTTTCTGGCCATAATCCTTCCTCCAGGTTTACAATTCAAGTTTAGTTTCCCCAAATTGATTGGAAAAGCAAAGCATTGTTAACCACTCAAATGCATATAATATCAAGGCTTATTTTGTCTTGCTAGTCAAATGTTCACATTGTGGTTTGTGATAATAGAAACAGTTCAACAATTTATTTGATATGCATGTTCATTCGAGCAGTTTAATTAATTTTGAATTAAATTATTTAAAATTAAATTAAATTTTATTATTTTTATTAATTGAATCAAAAATTTTAATTTTAAAAATTAATCAACCGAAATTACTTTAATTGATTTGGTTTATTTTTTTAGTTAATTGAATAATATAATACATTAAATTAAATTATATTTTAAAATTTTGTTTTTTCATGTATGAAATAAATTAAATAAAATTATCTAACAAAAATATTTAAATACCCAAATATTAAATTAAAAACTTTAATAACTTGAAATGAAATAAATAATTTTATATATTTTTAGTTATATATATGTTTTATAATATTTTGCTTGAAATTTATGTTAATTTGATTAATTCTATTTTCGAATTGAATTAATCAAAAATAAAAAAAATTTTAAAATTATTTTTATAATTGATCAAAATTAATTCAGTAACTGATCAATTAATTAAATTAAATCAATTCGATCTGTTGATTCGTTCAAAATCGAATCATAAACACATATTTTTTGATATTGTAACAGTTAAAATTTAAATTTGATTATTATAATTAAAAATTAACAATCTATCAACAAATTCAACAATTATTAACCTTATAATTGGCTTAAAAAAAGGGCATAATCCATTTTAAATCTTTATCTTGTATATCTAATTTAGAGTTTAACTTCAATTTTTTTTCTTTCCTAATGGTTTTATTTAATTTGTGTTACAACTCTTTCTTGACCACATTTTTTTCACCAAAGTGACATGATATTTTATTTAACATTTTAATAATTAAAGCAGTAATTTCTAAAATTTAGTCTTAATTTATCGATTTAAATGCTCAAACGGTATCCTTTTAAATTTAATTGCTAGAACTCGAAGTTTGAGATGGCTTATCATATTAATTAATCATAAGGAATGGTTTTTTTTAATTATTTGAAATTATTTGAATAATATATTATATTATAAATTTTTTTTTTTCAAAAGGTAAATTTACTCATTTATCTCTACCTTATTAGTAAATTTTTTTAGTACAATTTAGCATGGCAATGCCCCTTAATTTGAGGTCTGTGGCCTTTTGGGCTTTGGAAATTACCATTTCACGGGTATTTCAAATTTCCATTCTATTTACCATGAATGCTATACTTATTTAGACATATGATAAATGTTTTTTTTTATATAAAAAATTATTATAGGTTGAGAATAAAAAAAAATTGTAAGTATTCAATTTAAATTTTGCTTAATATTTGATTTTAAGGGTGGTTATATTAATTAATTAAATTACATTAAATCTTGAATTCAAATAATAAATTATTTCATTTTGATATAATTTGAACAACTTGTTCAACCTTTTTTAAGATCAAACCGACTCACTTATAATCAATAAAAAAATGACAACCTAAACTTAATAATCAAATTATAATGATTTGAAACTTGAAAAATGCTTGACTTAAAATGACTTGGAAATTGGAATAAAAAAAAGTGACTACAAACTTGAGGCGACTTTATCCAAAACATGAAAGTAAATTAAAAGATAAAGCTTGCTTTTTTTTTTTAATTTTTTAAAATTTATTTTGATTGAAATGAAATTAAAAACACCACAAAAGTGTTAACGTTATATAAAAGAAAAATTAGATAAATTTATTACTTAATTCATTTAATTTTTATAACCGCTCTTAAAATATATTATTTAACAAATTTGAGCTTTAAATATTAATATCTGTAATTTTTTTAATCTTTAAATTATAATTATTTTTATAAAAAAAAGTTAGATATGATTTTTTTAGGATACATTGAACATGATAGGTTTATGATATTTAAGATATAGCCTCATGTAAACTATTGGTTTTAAAACCAACATTTTACATGTGCTTAGAAAATGAAAAAAATAAATAAATTGGAGGTTTTTTTTTTTTTTTTCAAGTTTGTAATTGATGTAAATGTAAATGGTGCCCATTTACACAAAATTATAATGCATCTTCTACATGATGATCATTTGAATATCAAAATAAAATATAATTTACAAGTTATTAATAATGAAAACAAATAAGACTAGCCAAGATTTTAAACATATGATATAATATTATTATTGTTTTCCAACAAAAAAAGATGTTACTATTACTCTTACCTTTCCTTTCCATAGTGGCTTATGCCAATGTTTTAGAATTATATATTTAGTCTCAATAAGTTAATTCAAATATTAAATCTTTTTTAAAAAATTAACTTAAAAAATTGTGTAATAATCTAATCTTATATTGAGATATTATAAAAATTTATTATGATATAGATATTTAAATTTATTCATGTAAAATATTTTTTGATAAATAAAATAATAAAATTTTTTTATCAAAATAAATAATACTTCGTTGATTATAAATCTTCACATATCACATGGGCCTACCTAGGCAGTAGCTGAGTCTCAAAACATAGTTGCCGTCGAACGATGCACGGTCAATTTTACATGTTTTTGTCATGACTTTAGAAGTTCAAAATGTCGGCAACCTTTTTTTTTTTTTTTTTGTCTTTACCACATCCAAAGAGAGGAACTCACTTTTTATTTTAATTTATATTTTATGATTTGATTTCATGAGAATTATCTTAATAATTTTTTTAATTTAGATTTTACACATTATGAGCGATATGATTTAATTGCAGCCACATAATCACAACACATAATAAGTAAATAAATATATTTTTAAAAAATTTTAATTTATTCATAAATCTTTTACTTTACTATTTATTTTATTAAAAAATATTATTTATATAATTTTTTTTAAATTTATAATCTTCAAACACTAATTCAAATAATATATCAACTTATTTAAAGATTTCATAATTAATAAATAAATATGTTAAAGTCTGGATATATTAAAAGTTTTACAAAATTCAAATAAAAAAATCATTAAAATACACAATATTACTAATATCTCTAATATTAAATTTTGAGATAATTAACTCAAATCAATATTTTTATATTTTTATTGATAATAAATAAACTGGACCCAGGACTCATTAATTGAAGTGACAGGTCCGAACTCAAAACTTGAGACTAGCATTCATGCTTTCTTTTTCGACAGAAAAAAAAAATTCATTTTTTGCATGAGATTTAAAAGCAAATACAGCACTTAGGGTGAGCAATAGTCCATTTTGATTCGATATAGAGTTCATAAAATTAAAATTTTTTTTTAAAAGTTAAGTTTTAAATTGGATCAGATTGAATAGTGTTAAGAAAAGATTGAATTTATATTTTAAATAAATTGAATTTGATTTGATATGATATTATATAAAAATAATTTTTTAAAATAATTAATTATTTATATATATTTATATAATTATATATTTAAATATTTATATTTTAAAAAATAATATTTTATTAATTTCAAATCGAATCGGATATAATTTATATACTATCAAATTGAATCAAATTAAAATATAAAAAAAATTAAAAAAAATTTAAATCAAATTGAGATCAAATTTTACAAATATTAAATCGAATCGAATTCAAATCAAACAAAAATTTATTTTGATCTAACCCGTAATTAACCCTAACAACACTCTAAGGACCACAGCAGCCACATGGGTTAGGAATAGGGTTGTTAACCCTAGCAACACTCGAAGGACCACTGCAGCCACATGGGTTAGGAATAGGATCATAAAAGGACAATTAGGGTGTAGTAGAACGAGGTTGAATTTGAGAAATTAATTGGACACAATTTAAAACGATTGACAATAGATAAATAACTCTTATTATATTTATTTTATGGAAATAAATAACTCATATATATGTAATTTATTTTATCACCACTTTAATATTGTCCTTACATGTAGGGATAATGAGTCTATCTCGTGACTTGGACATAACATTTTAGGGATAGCAAAATTATTTAGGCAACATCAGCTTTTGCATCATGTAAAATTTTAAGATTAACATTTAACCTAATTAAAACGTACTGAAAATAATTAGAGCGACACTTATTTTATTTATATATGTGCTCAAAATTATATCCCAACTTAATTTGGGTGAAATTTATTTTATTAATTTTTCTATATTCATTTAAATAATCATAATGTTCTAATACAAGAATAAAAGAAGAAAGATAACTTTCAATTTGGATTTCATAGTTGCAAATAATTATATGTAAAAACAAGTTTGATTATGATATTTTTTTGGAATTTAAGACAAATTAATTTTTTGATTTGGCTTCCCTATAATAATACTATTTAAGATACAAACAACAATAAATAAAAATACCAACCAAATATAATTATCATAACTAAGATATAGGTTTTGATTAATCTTGGATGGAGCATAATCATTTTTTAATTATTAATGCTGTTTTGAAATAAAAGAAAGGATATAAAACAAATTACAATTAATCAGCTAACATAGAAAGAGCAGAGAACTGATAAAACTATAATATAATTTATTCGAGTTTGGATAAAACTATATTTTTTATAACATAGAATTATTATTTAAAAATAGAAAATAATTACATATAGAACACAAGGCAACAAATATTAACACGTAAAAAAGAGTAATAAAAATAGTTAATGTCATACCTTAGGCCAAGTCACCATTTACGTGAATATGTTGGCATCTTTCTATTCACAACCCGCTCGTTTATCACATGTCATGATAACTGGCTAGTTCAATGGCTTTAAGGCCCTCCCTGCTCCCTCTCTTTCTTCTATATATATCTCATTGGTGTGCTTACTACAACACAATAATAAAAAAAAAAAGTAGAAGAATTTGTGTATTTTGATCACGAATGGGTAGTGCTTCAAGAAAAACATTCCTCCCCCTTGATCCAATGAGTTTCACAAATGAGTCTCGAGCAGTGATTGATTTCATTGCTGATTACTACAAAAATATTGAGGAATACCCAGTTCTAAGCAGAGTTGAGCCTGGTTATTTGTCAGCCACGTTGCCTGAGTCGGCCCCCTATTGCCCTGAATCTCTCGAAGATATACTCAAAGATGTTCATGATTGCATCGTGCCAGGACTTACTCATTGGCAAAGTCCTAACTTCTTTGGCTACTTCCATGCAAATGCTAGCACTGCTGGTTTTCTTGGAGAGATGCTTTGCTCAGGTTTTAATGTAGTTGGTTTCAGCTGGATTTCGTCACCAGCTGCAACTGAACTTGAATCCCTAGTCATGGATTGGATGGGCAAATTGCTTAAGCTACCATCTTCATTTTTGTTCTCTGGAACTGGTGGTGGAGTCTTGCATGGTAGCACATGTGAGGCTGCAGTTTGCACTTTGGCTGCTGCAAGAGACAAAGCCTTGAAAGAGCTTGGTGGTTGGGAGAATATAACCAAATTGGTGGTTTATGCGTCTGATCAAACACATTTTACTTTCCAAAAGGCAGCAAAATTAGTAGGCATTCCCCCATCAAATTTTCGGCTCATTGAAACATCTTTTTCAACAGGATTTTCAATGTCACCTGAAAAGGTTCGTTTTGCTATTGAAGATGATATCAAATCAGGTTTGGTACCATTGTTCCTATGTGCAACTATTGGGACAACACCCAGTGGAGCTGTTGATCCTATTGCAGAATTAGGCAAGGTTGCCAGGGAATACAAGCTTTGGCTCCACATTGATGCAGCTTATGCAGGAAGTGCCTGCATTTGCCCCGAGCTCAGGCATTACCTTGATGGAATTGAACTTGCAAACTCCATCAGCATGAATCCACATAAATGGTTCCTCACTAACATGGACTGCTGTTGCTTGTGGATCAAGGAACCAAAGATCTTAGTGGATTCATTGTCAACTGATCCTGAAATTTTAAGAAACAACGCTAGTAAATTCAAAGGTGTGGTCGACTACAAAGATTGGCAGGTTGCACTGAGTAGACGATTCAGGGCTTTGAAGCTTTGGATTGTGATTCGCAGGCATGGCCTGGCGAACCTTATTTACCACATTCGAAGCGATATCAGCATGGCTAAGCGGTTTGAGGCATTTGTGGCTATGGATGAGAGGTTTGAGATTGTGGTGCCAAGAAAGTTTGCATTGGTTTGCTTCAGGCTTAAGCCCAAGCAAGAGGCTGAAGGCACTGAATTGAACTGTAAATTGCTGGATGCTATAAATTCAGGTGGGAGAGCTTTCATGACTCATGCAGTGGTGGGTGGGATATATGTCATTCGCTGTTCAATTGGAACAACTCTGACTGAAGAACATCATGTGGACGCTTTGTGGAATCTCATTCAAGAAAATGCTCAAATTTTATTATCGGAGTCGATTAATTAACTAGCAAATTAATAATTAATGAAGAAAAAATTATCCCAAATTTAGTTCTTTGGACTTAACTTTCATACTTCGTGTACTAAATTCGTACTTGTCAAACTTTGTTACTTAGTTCAATCTTAATAAAATTTTATTATATTCATGATCTGTTCATTTATTTTAAGAATATTATAGATATGTTCATTTAGTTTAATAAACAAGTCTTAAAATGATTAAAATAATATTCAAGATCATTTGTTAAGTTTCATAAAAGCATATAAATCGAATCTATTTATAAACTGTTCATTTAAACTGATCATATTCGCAAACTGAACCTATTTCCATGGCTGAGAAGAGCATAAGGGAAGGAGGAAAGAGATATGGAGAGACACAGACTGCTTTGAAAACAAATCTACAAAGTCATAGATTACACTAAATGATAAAGTGGGGGTGGGGGAAGGGGGTAGGGAAAGCAATCCATTCCATACCCACGAGTTTCGACCCATATCGGCCTCTTAAAATCAAAATTGTTTTTTAAAATTCAAATATCAAATCAAATTGGTTAACAATAGAAAAAAATTAAAGCCGAATCAAAGTCAAATTTTAATCAGATCCAATCCGATATATGCTTAAAAATTATATATATTTATATATTTATTTAATTTTATATTTATATTAACAATAATATTTTTATATTTTAAAAAATAATATTTTATTAATTTCAGATCGGATCGAATACAATTTTATATAATATCAATTCGAATCAAATTCAAATATAAAAAAATAAAAAAATATCAGATTGAGTTCGAATTTTATATGTATAAAATGAGATCAAATTCGTGGTGAGTAAAAACTTGTCCAGACACGACCTGTTGCTATACTTTGAGGAGAATTTGAGGAGAATGCAAAGCCAAGACAAAAACAACATATTTCGTAATTTATATGTAACATATTGAACTCAATTAGGTTGTAAATTTTTGGGCATATATACAGGTGGAAAAGTATAGATCTTTGATCTGATGCTTGGTTCTTTATGTTATGTACACAGACATCAGCCATCCATTAGTATCAAGGAGCAATGAACTCCTTAGATTTCCACTCTACTAATGCCACTATCATCATTATTCTCTGAGCTGAATTCTCCTCGATAGATGATATTCATGATGGTCTTTGTCGCTTGGCCAACAGCTCGCGAAGTTTTTCTAGCAGCCCCAGCAACAACCGGCTGTAAAGAGATGATAGGCAAACTAGCCCGTTCTTGAATCATTGCTGGATAGAGATGCTAACAAAATTAAAGTTCCAAAAAAGCAAATGGAATAAAAAAATTTTGATACCAAGCATTTGGTTGAGGGCCTGCGGGATAACGGGGTGGGGATCGTTGAAGAGCAACTTTTGAACTTACACATGGTCTGCTGGTGAGCAAGTGAACCAATCTGACGAATTCCAGCTTCAGCAGCCTGCACAGCTTGAGCTGATTTCTTGACACCATCAGCAATCTCTTGGCTGTGCGTCAAGTAGCCAAATGAAGCATTTTACTCAAAATCATGAAAGCTATTGTGAAAACAAAAAGTTTAAAAGTATATATCACATTATTCAGGGTCTCAAAAAGGCACAACATAGATTGAATATAATATGCTATGAGATTTGGTACAAGAAAAAATGCAGTATCATCTTTCCGCAATACATGAGAATGCCCCAGAGAAACAAAATTTCTTGGTTTTAGCACTGAAATAATGTTTGCCAACAGTCTTCAACTAAATATCCCATGATATAACCTTCTATGACATCTGCTATTTCCTCTAAGAGTACATTAGAGTCCATTTCAAAATATGTTTTCTCTTCTATTTACAAGAGGGAATCAACCTACTGCTTCTGATTTGGGAGAAACAATTATATGCATAACTATGCAACAAAAAGATGAAAATAGGATTTATTGTCACCTTAAATCACTTAGTTCCAGTGTAAGATCACTGATCTCCATGCCTGAAAGCCTAATAGCAGCCATAGTACTGGGAAGCTCCTCACGAGCAGTATCTGCTAGCTTGGAAAGAGAAACTGCAGCTCTTCCCATTGCCTGCAGAACAGGAAAAAAAATAATAATAACAATATAAAATGCAAACTAGACCTGATTTAGAAAACTTATGTTCAATTTTATCATCCAAAAAAGCATTTCTTTCTTTGATTGAGGCTGATGTAGATTTCCTAATGATCACATAAGGCTACAGATCTAAAGTTTAAAACTGAGTATATTAGGAATACACGACAATCTGGATGAACAAGCTTAAACTGTGCAGTCACTGTTGAAAGTTCAAATCACAAACAAGGCATGAATGAAATCATTGAAAATTAAACATTATTGCTTACTATGCACTACAGAAATTATCAAATAAAATCACATTCATATCATAAAATAAAGACAAATTATTCAATTTGTAAATGAAATGGTGAATAGACAGCCTAGCATATCACATCAAAGTAAAAGTTTCAGATACAATGTCTGAAACTTACATGGAGTGTTGGAACAGCTGCAATGACCAGACTTGTAAACGCCACAGAAGTCTGCATGTATCCAAGTGCTTGGTATTAATCAATCAGAAAATAGAAAATCTCAATACCAAACATATTCATTAGTACCAAAGCTTGAAGACAATACTATGAGCATTTCAGAATACAAAATTTCAAAACTAAACACTTAATTCTTACTGACACCTATCAACATAATAATCTATTTAATTTTCACATCACTAACCACAACAAACAGCACAATTGGAAACTACCCAACAAATAATTCAAATCCTATAAGCACCCAAAAACTACAAAACCCCACCAAAACTATACCAAGCAAACTATAAACACTCCTAGAAAGAATATATTACCATCCCAAACTTTCTATATTATCAAAATACAAATTAAAGCAGCAAATTTTTTTGTCAAAATTCACTTCCAATCAATACTAAACCCATAAACAACCGCATAAAGCAAGCACCTAAATCCTAGTAGCCACAAAACCATACCATCCAAGCAATGAAAACCAAAAGCAAAGCATACTCTTACATTCCAACATTCTAAAACATCCAAACATGATCAATTCCATATATATATAACACTGTAAAAACTGCAGACAAACAAGAAATACGCATCAAATTTGTAAAAATCCATTAAGCAATAAGCGCCCACATAAAACATGCTAAAACCAAGGAATACCACTAAACAATGTCAAATAAGCACCCAATAACCACAAAACCTTAAAAAAGTATCCACTTACAGAAATCAAATCCATTATAAGCACCTACTAACCATTCTTTCCATGCAATGAGAACCCAAATAGAGCATAGTCAACCACTTCAACATTCTCATACATCTAAACATCATGAATTCCGTAAATTCTAAAAACACACAAAAAAAAGAAGCCAAAAATCCATAAAATAGAAAGCACCCACATTAAAACAGAACGAGCCAAAAACAAGAACTACCCAAAGCATCCAATAACTTCAAAAGCATTAAAACCATACCGTACAAGCAATAAAGGCCAACAGATAGAAGGCCTGATCACTCAAGTTAATCTTTTTAATCGAAATATAAGTGGGGACAATTGGATTCCCAACTCCCACATTGTAATTTTCATTAAATTCTTCTCCAAGATTGAAATTTGAAGTTTGGGTCAATCCTTTGGACTCCAAACTTGATTCCTTTGAAGCTGAATTGGTAGAAGGATTGGAAGAGCAAAGTGGGACGAAACAAGAAGAGGGTTTTGAAGAGAAGGAAAAAGAAGAGGGTGACTTGAACAAGGAAATTTGGGTTTTTGTCCCTGAAGGGAAAGAAAGGAATGGGAGTAAAGAGTTTGCTGTGGGGATTGCGTTTAAAAAGAGATTGAGTTTCATTTGAGGGAATTCTGGGAGAAGAGAGTTTTGAGTCTGAGGGAAAGGAAAGGGTAGCGGAAGAAATTTTTTTAAGTGAAAATATGAGGTTAATGTTGTCTGTCGGAGAACGGTTGAGACAGTGGTTGTTGTAGTTTTCCTTACATTGCTTTGTCTTGGCCAGTGTTGTTCATGGGCTCACCTGAGCTGATTCGAGTTGGGTTCTGTTCTGAGCTCAGGTTTGGACACTAGCCGAGGCCCGTTTATAATCTGAATTAAAATTTTTTTTAAAATATATATATATATATATTTGACAAAATCGACAAAAAGAAATAGAATGAAGAATATATTTAATCTTCTTTAACACGGGTTTATTTTTTAAATTGATGTAAATAAAAATTTGATTTTTATATTTTATATGAATTTAATACACGTAAATATTAATATTCGTTACAAGAAAACTTATGAGAAATAAACTGATTATCATAAATAGAATATTTATGCTAACAAACAACTCTCGCGTTACGTTATATTTTATAATTAATTTTAATATTTTAAGTTTTAATATTAATACATTAACTAATACTCTTCACTTAAATAAATAATAATCAAATCGGTCAGCATATCTTCCCTTGAGTCCTATGGATGAGCTGTGATAAGCAATAGCCATTGTGTGCCAACGCTGTATCTATTTCCGGTATATGCCTTTCCGAAGGACCATCTCAGCCCATCCTTCACATCTGGGTCTAGAACTGCTGAATCAATCAGATTACTAATGCTTTTGTATGTCATCATCCTGGGAAGAGTGAATAAAATAAGTCAGATGATGAAACCCTTAGTTACACACTTTATCATAATGCAAGTCCACTTGAGACCAACCTTCATTCTTGTTTCATTACTACTATTTGCATAATTTTGAGAAAAAGATTAAAAAAAAAAAAAAACTCTAAAAATGTTGATAGTTGAAAAAAATAAGGAGCAAAAACAATGAAAAAAGAAACCCAACCCGGGATCTTTTACTCCGCATTTGCACGAAATGGTTGAATCCGGTGGTGTGCTATCAGACAACTAGAAAAAAGGTAAAGAGATTATAAATATTCAATGGCTAATAAAATCAGATGTAGGGCAATCTTGATCTACAAAGTAGAGTTCAATGGGCAAATATACCTTCACATGGTATATCTTTCACCTGTGAAAAATCAACTCCAATCTTTGGGACAACCTCAGGCATAACGTTTCCCACGTATGAAGCAGGAAGACTGGCGTAAAATGATCTTTTCAAATTCCTCAATGTCGTCTCTGTACCACAATCATTTCTGACAATTTCCAGGTTCACCGAAGGGCTCCTGCACCAAGTATATTAACATGAGAACTGCCAGTCAATTTGCTGAAACTATTGCTATTTATCTACACATGTATCTTGGTCCCTCAATTGGATATTGCCATAGCCACCAATTTCATAAAAAGGTGAATGCATAATAAAATATTATCACAGTCACACCATAACTCTTGTATAAAATGGGATTGCTTGATCTCCTTCACGGACAAATGAGTATGACTACTTAAAAAATGCTCTAAGCCTTAAACGTTTCCATTTTATCAAGTTAGTCCCTAAACTACAGTTTACAAACAACCAAATCAACTAACTATAAGCAACCATAACAAAAAGCTTTTTTGATCAAACCAAAGAAATTTGAAGTACCCATCAAAGAAGAACACTAAATGAAAGAGTGTAAGATATATTAAAAGAAGCAGAAAAAATGGGTTTGAAAGAAAATGTGAGGAATTACCCGAGATTTCAATGGCTTGGCTGTGTTCTGAAGCTTTGGTTAATGTCAATTTAGTGAAGAAAGAGCAAAGATTTTGATTCTTTTGAAGATCCAAAAGAGAGAAAAAATGTTTGTTTGATGGTTTATGGTCGGGGTGCCGACCAGCTCTTTTTATTCTTAACTTGCTTGAAGTACTTATGTTGGAAGAAGTTCACTGACAAAAGCAAAGGACAAAAGTAAAAACAAAACTGCTTACCTTAGAAGTTCTTGCTTTAATTTTTTTTTTTCTGGTTCAAAAGAACTTAGGTTTGAAGTTGTTTCAACTTTCTCTATAAGTATTTTATTTTTACTTTTCTTTTGACTTTTGTCATGTAATATGTACCATGACTCAAATTATTCTTATTTCCTCTACTCTAGCTGCCATATATTAAAAAAAAAAAAAGATGACACCACCATCACCAACAATGAGCTTAGTGTAAGCCTTTAAGGCCTCAGCCAGTTCCCTGCGTTAAGCAAGTTTACTCCATCCCATAAACAATCAAAAGGAATGAATTTGAAGCTGTTAGCTTAGCCTTTTTAAGGTGAATTAGACTTATCTAGGATGAATGTTGATCTTAATGTTGAGATGACCCATATTAGATAGATGGTATACATTTTATTTGTCACGTACTTTCTGTTTTATGTTTTTATGTATATTTTGGGTGACATAACAAGAACTTTATTTATGTCTTAAATGAACATTTTTTTTATATTTTTTCTTCAAAATTGGATGACTTTATGTGGTAGACCTTCTTCTTTATTATTTTTAATGCTGTCTATATTAACACTACACTTGATCAATTTAAGTGCAGGAGCCATTTTATCACCACTAACACAAAATCATATTAAAGGATCCTGATAACATTTAATTTAAAATCAACACGGAAAATCATAAATGAATTTTTTGTTCAAAGAGTATCCATTAGAAACTCCATTGTTAATGTGCTTCTCTTTTAACCCAAAGCACAAAGAAGTCCATGGTTTTGAAAGACAAGGCAATTTGATGCACTCTATTTATTTATTTATATTTTCCTAATATTCATGCATGCAGCTAAGTCCTTCCAAGCCAAATAACATTCAATACATCAATAAGAATTTAAAACCCCTGATGTTATCTTAACTCAACTGATTATTAATTATCACTTAGGAAAATCATATTCATAATGAATCAGTCCATAAATCCATGTCTGAGATCAAATCATCCCAATCCCATTTGCTGCAGCATTCATCAGTCCTCAATACATTAACTTCATCAAACTGGCCAAAGTGATCTGTAGCCAAATCACTAACAAATTTTCCAGGCTCGTCCACTCCTAGGCTGCTGTCTGCTTTTACAAGCTCTTTGCCTCGTTGATCAACTTCAACATAAGGAAAAGGTGTCGACATGCTGCTTTCTTCTATTGTTGGCTGGCTATTTGGAGCAATATGATCCGGGCTTCTTGGTTTCATAGAGCCTGTTGTTGCAATACTTCGTGGCTGGGGCCTTATGATTTCCACATTTATTGCATTTTGATCTTCCTCTTCAGTTTCTTGAGCATTGAGCTTTTTACGCAGGTGGCAATTCCAATAATTCTTTACATCATTTGCTGTTCTTCCTGGGAGTCTCCCAGCAATCAGTGACCACCTGATCATGAACATAAACCACATTTACTTTTACCAATAAGCTTAATGTGTTTACTTAATCTCAAACCTTACTATCTTCTATCATGAAAAAAAAAAGGAGCGGGCTCCAAGAAAATAACTTGCCGGTTTCCCAGGAGCTTGTGGAGCTTAATGATGAGCTGCACTTCCTCTTCTGCAAAATTCCCTCTTTTGATGTTTGGGTGTAGGTAGTTCAACCATCTCAGTCTACAGCTCTTGCGGCACCTGTTTAGTCCTAAACGACACCAAATTAAGTACACCATTCATCAATTAAAGTCTTCTTTTCCTTGATGATTTCTTCTTTGAAACTCAAGATTTATAAATAAATACACACACATATATATATGTATATGCGTGCATGCATGCATGTGCACACAGACACTCAATTTTTCTTTACCATTGATCATGGATTGGGGATCGTAGGTATGAGTAAAAACACTTCATTTAAAAGTTGAAAGTGACAATGCTCTAAAATAACTGAGCCTAATAAAGAAGAGGTCAATTACCCCCATGAAACACGCATGTGGTAATCTGATTCTCATATTTATGTACACATATGACTTTAATTTGCTCTCTGAAAACTATTGCAGTAAATTCACAAAATAGGCATTGGTAATTTGCAACTTGCAATATGATTCAAGAAATCAGTTGAAAATTGATGACCTTAATTTTGTCTTAGGGATAGTAGAGACCTTTATAGTTCTTCATATATATATACCTCAACTTTCTATGCCAATTTTTTGAAAAAAAAAAATTTGCAGCCATAGAGGGTCAAAATCATAAGCATAATATACTCCAACCATGGCAGAAAAGGAGAATGGAAATTGCATGACCCCCAAGCCAAATGTACAAAAAAATTTTGAAGAAAATATATGGAATAAAATGAAGACTAAAGCTATGTGTCGATTAAGGACAACTGCATATGCTATCAAAGTTAGGGGTGTAAACAAACTAAACATGAACAAATTTTGTTATATTTATGATAATTAAGGAATTATGAAATGTTGTTTGTGATTATTTATTAAACTTAAAAAATGAATAAAAATGAATAGAAACCAAATATGTTCGTAAATTATTTATCAAATGTTTTATTCATTTGCGCATCTAATTAAAGTAATGTTTTTGAATCAAGATGAAGATTGAAGAAGAAAAATGAAAAATTAATACTTTCATACTATGAAAAGTTTCAATTGTTAAGAGACTACAAGGAGAAAAACATTTTAGGTTGCCCAATAAACGAACTAAACATAAACAAATTTTGTTATATTTGTGAGAATTAAGAAATTATAAAATATTGTTTGTGATTATTTATTAAACTTAAAAAATAAATATAAACGAATAGAAATTAAATATATTCATAAATTATTTATTAAACGTTTTATTCGTTTATTCATCTAATTAAAGTAATGTTTTTGAATCAAGATGAAGATCGAAGAAGAAAAATGAAAAATTAATACTTTCATATTATGAAAAGTTTCAATTGTTAAGAGACTATAGGGAGAAAAACATTTTAGGTTGCCCAATAACACCTAACAAAATACAAATATCTAATAACAATAAAACCCATGATTTTGCTGGTCTTCATACTGATATATATAATTACCAGCCAAAAGAGGTACCCGATGCCACTGCCCATCTCCATACCGCTCTATACATTTCTTGAGCAAGTGATCTTCTTCTTCGGTCCAAGCAAAACCTCCCATATCTCTTTTTTTTTTTCTTTTTTTTTCCTTCACCTGTTGATCATACAATCATTGTTCAACTCACACCCTGATATAGCTCTAGACCTTGATCGGCTTCCCTATTTATCCATTTGTGATCGTACTTCCAATCTCTCTTTTTTTTTTATAACACCAGTCCAATTATTACCGGCCTAAGACATTTGGAAAACGGTCCTTGCCTCTTTCTAGGGTTGTCCTATTGTTTCTATGTATTTATGATGAGGCATCATGATTATATTTGTGGGCTCTAAATAACAAATTTTCTCACATTTATCTTGTTTGTGTTTAGAAGATTTCATGTGCTCTAAACCAAAAGACAACTTGTGCTTTTTGCATTGTCGTATATATTTGTTTGGTTTCCTTCCCTTTCTTCAACCCTCCATTCACATTTCAGCTAAAAGTACAGTAACATCAACTTTTACTTTCAGCCAAAAGCCTCCCATTGGCATTGCTAAAGTCAGAGAAAGAAAAACTCAGCCATGTGCATTGATTTTATATTCTATGATTTCATTGCTGGTTTTGATTTCAGAGTCTTTTCAGATTTGTTATTGGCTTATTTTTCTTATTGTGAGAGTTCATTGGCCAATTCTTGAACCAGATAAGCTGGGGCTACTTTTTAAATCGATCAGAAGAAAATGTTCAATGCATGGACCCCAACATCTATTACCACATTCAGAGTTTTCAAGACTTTATCATATGAGACAATATTAAATAAAAGATGGCATCCTTTGGTTGATTGCTTGGACAAATTGAAACCTGCGGTCCTGATGATGAATAGACAACACGGTAGCTGAAGAACAAGGGATCTTAATTTGAATCTAGTTTTTTGGCCCACGGTTTTTCAGTTAATCAAAGTTTTGATGACCATCCTCATCAGCTGGTATCCATTGGTTCCATGACAGAATCATCACAATGAATTCAATCAAATTTGATTGCTCTCCTACATATGCTGTTCTCCATCCCCTTACCAGTCTGTACAATGAAATGCTAGTACATTCTCTCAATATTATAAGTCATTGTTACATTACTTTCATTTGTCTCATTCTAAGGCAAACAGATTTTAAATCTGGTTGATGATTAACTTTCATTTACTTCAAATGTCTTTAGTCTGATATTTGTCTAGACTCTATATACAATAAAGGGTACAATGAAAGCTGACAAACGGCTCAAGTTTGGCACGATTGTGATGCCTAGAATACTTTAAGAAACAGCTTAGTGTGATATTACTTCTGGACAGCTACCATTCACATGCATACCAGACTGATAAAGACTGAACCCTTTTCTTCGCTGTAACATTGCATCAGATTGTGAGCATCCAAACTAATTGCTTAAGCAATACCTATGATGTTTTGGATTTTTTTTTCTTCTTTTAGGTATATGAGAGATAACTGTTAGCAGTGTGTCTAATTTTGAAATCATGTATGCTCTAGAAGCCTAAAGAGTTTTTTGTCCAGTTTATTTGTTATTGAGATTAGCATTGATTCTATCAGTTGATACTGCCACAATAGAGAGAGCATTTTCAGTAATGAATTAACATCCTGAAGACTCGTTTGTGTAATCAAATGGAAGATCAATGTTTGAATGATAGCTTAATTCTATACAAAGATGCATTCAAAAGTATTGATTATGAAACTATTGTACAACGTTCTCAAAATATGAAACTACATCAAGAACAATTGTAAAATTTTTAGTAGTTATGATTGTATACGGAAATTTAAAATTTTTTGTATAATTTGGTATATTTGAATCAAGTCCCATCAGGTAAAATTTCTGACTCCACTATTTCTAATAATAGAATCAATGTTCTTATAAGTGGCCATGTAACCAAAAAAACAGCGGCTATATCTATTGGATTAGGACTGATTAATTTGATGATTATGATGTTGATACACCTAATAACATATTAATCAGTTATTCTGTGTGGTAAAGAAAGCATATATCCTACATTTATCTGGGTATAGTAACTTGTTGACAATATCAAGTTATAAGGTAAATGCTAGAGGCATTAGTATAAGAAAGTGACAACCATAACTAGATTGTGTTCGTAAAAAGAAAGGCATTTATCTTAAAATTAATTGGATCGGGACTCAGATGATAATTCGAACCAACTTGAAATGAAAGACATCTATCTTAAAATTAATTGGATTGTGACTGAAATGATAATCCGAACCAACTTGAAGAGTTTTGAATATGTCATAGATCTGTACTCTCTACCTTGATTTACATCAAACTTCACTCAATGTTGTTGTCATTTGGATAATGTAAGGTTGATTGGTCTTATTGTCACAGGTTGAGACTTAAGCTTCGAATTCACGCGGTTTCGGGATTCGAATATTCATTCATCTGACGTCTCGGATCAGTTTGATCGTCACGGTTCACATCCTTGTGAGGTATTGTCCGCTCTGGTCCCCTGATCTCACGATTTTATCTTACAAAAGGCGTCTCACAAGAAAAAGATGGTGTAAACCCTTTTATACTCCAGTGACCCTTTTTTATATTCGATGTGGGATTCAAGACTCCTCCTTAGGTCCGTAACATTCTCTCCCACCCAACTTCGTGACGCCCTCGTCACGGAGGTTGGCCACCCTGCCTACCTCCCTCGAGGTGCTTGGCATGGATCGAATGGTTTAGGGCTGGCTTTGATACCACTTGTCGCGGGTCGAGGCTTAAACTCCGAACCCACGCGACTTCGAGACCTGGGCATCCACTCATCCAGTGTCCCAGATCAGCCTGCCTGTCACGGTTCACACCCTTGTGAGGTATTGTCCGCTCTGGCCCCCCTGGCCTCACAGTTTTATCCTACAAAAGACGTCTCACCCTCTTTTTATATTCGATGTGGGATTGAGAACTCCTCCTTAGGTCTGTGACATTCTCCCCCACCCAACCTCGTGACACCCTCGTCACGGAGGCTGGCCACCTTGCCTACCTCCCTCGAGGCGTTGGCGTGGATCGAACGGTATAGGGCTGGCTCTGATATAACTTGTCACGGGTCGAGCCTTAAGCTCAAACCCGTGCAGCTCCGAGACCCGGGCATCCATTTATCCGACGTCTCAGATCAGTTTACCTGCCACGATTCACACCCTTGTGAGGTATTATCCGCTTTGGCTCCCATGGCCTTACGATTTTGTCTTACAAAAGGCGCATCACAAGAAAGAGATGGTGTGAACCATTTTATACCTCAGTGACCCTCTTTTTATATTCGATGTGGGATTCAGGACTCTTTCTTAGGTCCGTGACATTCTCCCCTACCCAATCTCGTGAAGCCTTCGTCACGGAGGCTGATCACCCTGCCTACCTCCCTCGAGGTGCTTGGCATGGATCGAACGGTATAAGGCTGGCTCTAATACCATTTATCATGGGCTAAGATTTAAGCTTCGACCCGCGCTGCTCCGGGACCCGGGCATGCATTCTTTCGGTGTCTTAGATCAGCCTACCTACCATAGTTCACACCCTTGTGAGGTATTGTCTGCTTTTGCCCCTGACCTCACGATTTTGTTCTACAAAAGACATCTCACAAGAGAGAGGTGGTGTAAACCTTTTTATACCCTAGTGACCCTCCTTTTATGTTCGATGTGAGATTCAAGACTCCTCTTTAGGTCCATGACATTCTCCTCTATCCTACCTTGTGACGTCCTCGTCACGGAGGCTGGCCACCCTGCCTACCTCCCTCGAGATGCTTGACGTGGATCGAACGGTATAGGGCTGGCTCTAATACCACTTGTCACGGGTCAGACTTAAGCTCCGAACCCACGTGGCTTCGAGGACCCGGACATCCACTCATCTGACGTCCCAGATTAGCATACCTACTACGATTCACACTCTTGTGAGGTATTATTTGCTCTGGCCCCCCTGACCTCACAATTGTCTTACAAAAGGCCAGTGACCCTCTTTTTATATTCAATGTGGGATTCAAGACTCCTCTTTAGATCCGTGACATTCTCCCCCACCCAACCTTGTGATGCCCTTGTCACGGAGGCTGGCCACCCTGCCTACCTCCCTTGAGGCATTGGCGTGGATCGAACGGTATAGGGCTAGCTCTGATACCACTTGTCATAGGTCGAGACTTAAGCTCCGACCTGCACAACTTCGGGACCCAAGCATCTACTCATCCGGTATCCCAGATCAATCTTCATGTCACGGTTCACACCCTTCTGAGGTATTATCAGCTCTGGCCCTCTTGACCTTACGATTTTGTCTTACAAAACACACCTCATAAGAAAGATATGATGTGATACCATTTGTCACAGGCCGAGACTTAAGCTCCGACCTGCGCAGCTCCAGGACCCAAGCATCTACTCATCCGGTATCTCAGATCAACCTTCATGTCACGGTTCACACCCTTCTGAGATATTGTCAGCTCTAGCCCTCTTGACCTTACGATTTTGTCCTACAAAACACACCTCATAAGAAAGATATGATGTGATACCATTTGTCATGGGTCGAGACTTAAGCTTCGACCTGCGCAGCTCTGGGACTCAGGCATCTACTCATCCGATATCTCAGATCAATCTTTCTGTCATGGTTTATACCCTTCTGAGGTATTGTCAGCTCTGGCTCTCTTGACCTCACGGTTTTGCCCTACAAAACACACCTCATAAGAAAGATATGGTGTGAACCCTTTTATACCCCAGTGACCCTCCTATTATGTTCGATGTGAGATTCAAGACTCTTCCTTAAATCCGTGACACTAACACTTTCCTTAACATAAAATGCAACATTCTAACCCTGATTTTAGTTCTGGTTATATTGATATTTTTGTATCTCTTCAAGCCCAAAGTTTCCCAAAAATATTAATGGCAAAAATTTAATATAACTTGATGAAAAAACTCATTTTTTAGCTTTTACAGAAATTGAAAATAATTTCATTTGAACTCTATTTAATATGACTTTGGTTTAAATTTTTTTTTAAAAAAAAATTTTAAGTAGATCTAGCAATTCGTATATTCGTATTATATTTATTTAGTGTCAAATAAATGTAAAATATGAAAATTATTATATTATAATTTATGTTGATAAGTCAAACATAGAACATTTTTTTATTTTTATTAAATTCATATATAATTTTATTAAAATTATATATATATATATATTTTACATTGTATCATTATATCGTATTTAAAATCATCAAATTTAAGTTTAAGCTTTATAAATCAAAAAGACCGCTTAAAAAATAAGTTAAAGAAGCAATATACAATTGTAAGTTGAATATTGGAAAATTAAGAGAAAACTCTAAAACTCTTCACATAAAAAAAAAAAAAAAGCATATTGCCCAACAAGCACGTCATAAAATACATGAGAAATTAATTAAAAAAAAAAGTCTTTTAAATCCACTTTTTCTATATATGTCTCTGTTGTTAATTCTTATCAGATTGTCGCAATTGCATCTCCCTTCATTTTCAGTAATTGATCATGACTGGTAATTATATACATTTATGACTTTGAATTGCCCTTCACCTTTAATTTTCCGAGTTTCCATCATGACATTAATTTTGTTTGGAACATCCAAAATGTGCCTAATTATAGTCTTAATTTCATTAGTTTGAGTGATTGAAAAAATGTTAGGAATTAATAAACAAAATTTTTTCATGAAAATTAGACGTCGATGACTGCTTGATTTTCGTACTGGAAGAACCTGGTTCAACTTTTTTCTTTCAATTGAAAAAAAAAAAAAAAAACAATTGAAGCAAACAAAAGAATAATCAGTCAACTAGAGCGGAATAGCTATTTTTATAACCAAACATGACCTTACTTTAATATAAAAGTAGTGCTACCATAGATTTTTTTGATCGGAAAGGCTTTCAAAAGGCTCTGTTTCGTTCATCCAATTATGATTAAGAAATCATCAACAAGAGATTAGTTTAATTAATTAAGGTTCATATTTTTCGATAAAAAAATTTTAAATTCTAATATTATTTATGATTATTTATTAAAATTATTTTAAATTTATAATTTATAATCATTTATTTTAAATTATTAAATATGATATATTTAATTTTGATAAAAAAATTAAATAATTTATTTATTTCGAATCTTTCGTACCAAAAAACAAAAGTTATGATTAAAAAATCAGAAATAGGCCAAATTCACAAGTGGGTAGTGCTATATCTTAATTCTGAGCCTTTTATTTTGGACAATGGATTCTAGGCCTTTGATATGGTCTATGCCGAGCTAACTCAAGCAATGAGCCAATGACCCAAGTTGTGGGCCTAATCATTTATTATTTTTTTTTGGGATAATATATTTTAAGAGATTTCTAAGTTTTGGTAAAAAAAATTTCTCAATATATTCTTTTCAAACATCAATTCAAACTAATTTATTTATATCAAATTTATTAAATTAATAAAAAATTATCTTTTAATAATCTTTTAACTAGTCCATAGTCTAACAATCAAAAGAAAAGCAATTTTTTTTTTTTATCAATCATAAAGTGCATATATATATATATATATATATATACATAAATCAAGAAAAAAACTTATGCTAATGATTGGTTAGAAGAGAATTAACTTAGACAAATTTAAATATAAATTCTTGCTTATGGAAGGAAGAAGTCCTAACTTTTATTGTTACTTTTAGTTCTTCAATATTCAAACATTACCCCTTTTTTCTTTTCTTTTAAAAATAAAAAGATAATTAGTAATGATGGCAAACAAACAAAGTCTTTTTTTTTTTTTTCTGAAAAAATAAAAATGGCATACTGTCAACCATTAACGTGGAAGTTTTTACTGCACTTTAAATCGGGGTCTGGTCCCAAATTCTCTCAATCACAAAGTGGAGAACCTAACCCACAAAATGGACACTTGGGTGGTGCTTGTTGTCTTCTGAGAATTGACTTTCCAAAGTTAATTTTTTTCTTCCATTTTTTTTATATCTATGCTAATGTAACAACCAAAGTCCACACAATCAAATGCACAAAAACAGTCAATATCCATCGAGCACATTCTATTTATAATTTATTTATTTATTTTTATTATAAAATAGAGTATTATGAAATTTTGAGTCGTTGATTCAATGGTATGTGTACCTTTTTAAAGGGTTGCTCAAGTCTTAATTGTTATTAATAAACTGTTAATTGAAATTGAAATTAGCTCTAAAATTGGATATTTTAATTTAACTTATAATTGTAATCATAAAAATTTTTAATTTTTTTAAAAAATTATGAGTTGAATTTATTATTTTTATAAAAAAATTTTCTTTTACCTTCAATTTTTTATTAATAACTAAAAAAAAATTAAAAAAATAATAAAGTGGGAATCCCAATCTTATTATCCTTGTCTCTTATCTCTTATCAAATAAAAAAATTATCCTTTTAATTATATTTAATAATCTCTAAAAAACCATTTTATTTATTGAACAGTAATACACATTAAAGTCCATCTAAGAATCTCCTTTTTATTGTCCTTTTCAAGCATAATCACTAAGTCGATCACATGTATTCAAGTGTTTAGCTCAATAATCACTACACAGTATTTTATTTGAATTAGAATTGTTGGATTGATATCTCTATTCCTCCAAAATTGTCTTGAAAAAACTGTTTTACATCTCAAATGATAGTTGAATTTTTAACAAACCCAAACTCAGATTCCTCAAAAAAACATGTCCTATCCTTGTTTATGGTAGAATAAATATGAACCCAATTTTTTTTTTTCTGTCACAATGATTTTATAATGATTTGGCCTCTACTTTGATAGTTTTGAAGAAAATGTTTTTCTCTTCCTTTCTTATCCATCCACTGAGGTTCATGTGAACAAATTTTCCACTCACAATCCATGTTCTCATTTCCATGGTCGGTCCCCACGTTATTTTCCTTGGAGCACTGGTCAGGCGCATGTCTGATTTTATACCACTTTTTTCCACTCAATATTTTGACTTTGCTAAAGCTTCTTGTCAAAGTTTGCCTTTGCTTTTTTAGTGGGGAGTTTCATTCAACCCAAGCCAAGCCAAGCTGAGGCAGAACCGCAGAAGTGGTGGCGTTTTTTGACCCCTTGTGGCAGGTGGGATTGGGTCATTGCTCAGGCCCCTAGGTGGGTTCTTTGTTTTTTTTTTCAAGTCAAATTGTATTGGGTAACCTTATATCACTCCACGAGGTTAGGTTGTTGCAGCTTGAGCCAAGAAAAAGACTGCCTTTTTCCCTGTTTTCCCATTTTTCCATGAAAAATTGAAGTCCTTAGCTCTCATGTCAATACCAAAAAGTGCGATGAAATTCTCACGTCCAAGAACATTTTCTTGCTCATTGGGTTTGGAACTTTGAAGTTGTAAGTTTAAAAGGGTTGTTTTTAGTTTGTCACTTAAGAAAAAAAAATGAATTGAGACAACAATTTTTTACAATTTTTACATTTTTTAGAATTGAATGACAAGAGCTTATAGTAGGCAAATGTTTAGATTCCATTTTCCCCCATTTTTTGCTGAATGAAAAGCTTTGCTAAGACTTCATTTCTGCTTTAGACATTGGCATCCTCTAAAACATTGTATGAGTGATGCAGTGCTAAACTTTTAATTTTAATAATCAAAATTCAAACTCTGAAAATCTTTAAAAAAGGTTCAGTGGTAGTTGTTATTCATTTTTGTTCATCTTTTTGGATGGTTTAAATGCAAACTATGTACTAATCAGCTTATCTCTGATCACCCATAAATTTAGTAATGTGCCTTTTGAAATGCTATACATTATCAATTTTGTTGCTCTATAACTCTTATTAAACATATGATCTTTCCCTTATGATGTTAAGGGTGAATTCCACAAGGCATGGTTTACATGTTGAGAATTAAAGGGTAGAAATATCAGTTTCTTTTGGTATGGTCTGGCTAGTTGGGTTAGTGGCTTTGGCATTTAGTACAAAAAGCACTAACAACCAAATAAACAAACAAGGGGAAATACCCCCTTTTTTTTTTTTTTTACTTTTTGCCTCTTGCAATTGAATTTAGTCAAATATTGCAATAGGTATTGCCTAATTGGATGCCAAAATCAAATCGGAAAGACTTTTAATGGAGTAAACTTTACTCTTTATAATAATGAAAGTCTTACCTAAAAACCAAATTGGAAGAGCTTTCAATGGAGTGAATATTACTCGTGATCATGAGAAAAGAGTGACCATATTCATATCTTACAATCAGTAATTTTAACACAAATATTGAAAAAAAAATCTCAACAGTCATAGCCAATTCATTCCTTGGCCAAAATATTCCAATAAAAATTCCATATCCTTCATTCAGAAGACAATATGAGAATCACGTTGGGTATAAACATTGACAATCTGATAGAACTTCTCCGGAAAACCCTTCCTTTGTGATTCCAGATTAGCATGTTTACAGCAGGCACCAAAGGGCTGCTGTAGCTCATTTGCCACTGGCTACAGCCATTATTATGCAATATCCAACCCTTTGATGACCCTGTTGTCCAAAAAATGCCAACAATAAAAGAAATAATAAAAAAAAATCTTTCCTAACCCAAAAAAATTGGCTTTTCAGTTCACTGCAAACTGGCCCACTTTTTGTAAATGTCACCACAGCCTGTATTCTTAAGGGTCCCATTTCCTGACTCTGCCAAGTAAAACCATTAATAAAAAAAAAAATGCAGAGAATGGGATAAGGGTTGGATAAAAAAATGAAGTTGCATCAAATATTATAATGAGAAAAAGTTGAAAAACCAAGCCCCTAAATCCTAATAGTAGACTTCTACCCTGCTTTGTTCTTTCTTTTTCCACACATTTATTTATTTATTTTGCTGTTTTTCTGATATAACTGTGTTTCCAGAAGAGCAAAAGAGCTGAACTCTATTTTATCTGTAGATTCTCTTCTTCTGTGTAATTCTGAGCTAGAATTTATATCCCCTGTAGCTTTCTTGAGAATCCCCAGCTCTTTCTTTTTTCTACCTTTTTGATCTTATTCTCTTCCCTTCAAAGTCCAATCTTTTTCCCCTTCAGCTTTTCAATCACTCTTTCTTTTGGCTTCTTCATTTATTCCTAGTAGGAACTGTCACTAACAAGTAACAACCCCACAATGGATGTAAGTTCTTTTTCTTATTCTTCTTATTAAGTTTTTTTTTACTTCTTTGAATCTTGAATCTCTTCTTTAAAGCTAATTGTCTGGTGGGATTTTGCTCTTTTCTTTTTATTTCTTTAGGATTATTGCAAGAGAAGTGGGCAGATACCAGCATTTGGAAACTGGGACTATGCAAATGAGCTGCCTATAACTCAGTACTTTGAATGTGCCAGACAAGCTGGTTTGATTCGTTTCAGCTCCTCATCAGGAGAATCTAACACTTATGTTCCTGGTGACTTGTATACTGTTGATTTAAGAAAACATTCTCGTAATCTTGCTCCTGCAAGAAAGGTCAGTTAACCCTTGGACTTTCTCATATTTGTTGTGTTGTTGATTTTGTTGCTCAGCTTATTAGTTACTGATGTGATGTAGAAAATCCAAACTTCGAACAAAAGAAAGGAATGAATCATTTCTGATATTTCTGCAGAACTGTTGAACTGTCTTTGCACAGTGGGGACATAGCATAAAGAAGTAAAGAACTAATCTGTTTTCAAGCCCATTTGTGGGAGCTTTTCTTGAAGAATTAAAAATGGCAACAAAATATTGCCAAGCTGAAATGTTTTCTCAGTGGCATCTCCTGGAAACACTTTTGTAGAAACTAGAATTTTTGTACCTTTTTTTGTTCTAGATTTTACTTGAAGCATGCATTGAACTTTCTTCAAAATATACAATTAATTTATTTACAAAATCTATAAGTATAACGGTTTGATGTAAGACCTGCGTACAATATTTGTCACTGCTGCTATTGTGCAACATATTTTAGATCTTTTTTTTTTTTTTTTTAATTTGAATAACAATGGAGTGTGTGTGGACGGGTGGGTGGCATTCAGCAGGTGAGTAGGGTAAGAGAAAAGCGAAGAGAACCGCATGTCAAGGAGCAAAAGAAGGCAGGTAGAGTTTGTGACGTGACTGAACCGCCAAGGAAATACCAGCATCAACGTCCCCACCATGTGCCTATTTCAAATAAAAATAATAATAATAGAACTAACAGTAAGCAGGTCAAAGATGCTGTGGTTCCTTCCAATAGATTGCCTCTTAGACCTCCCAAACCTGTCGATGAAGATCTCTACAAAATCCCCCCTGAGCTCCTTAACTCTTCCAAGCGAGTATGTTCCTCTCCAGTCTCCATCTCATTTTTGTGACAGTGTCATGGGCCAAGACTCAAGACCTGCAATTGGACCTGGGCACCGATAGGCTGCCCATCTTTGAGAATTTGTTTAAAATTTTTGTGGATTGATGCTGTTTCTGACATGTTTCTTTTGTTGTTCAATGTAGAAGAAAATGCCAGGATTCTTTTCATGCTTGGTACCAGCTTGTGCAACATGAAGTTCTGAATTAGAGCTTGAAGGAAGAAACTTGCTCATGCATTCAGGAGGAGTTTCATGTTTATATAGAAAAAGATATAGTAGTTAGTCTAGTGATTTATTCCTTTTTGTTTCATCAAAAATGTTTGACTAAACAAAGCTTGTAGTGAGAAATTGCTGTGATCAAATGGTTAATTTTTCTTTTGTCTACAGATGAAATTACACTAAGTAAATTATGCATTCTGAGGAATAAATGATCATGCAAATTTTTCACAAAAGAGAACAAAAAAAAAAGGATGTGAGAGCGAAGAAAGTCTTGAATAATTCACCTTGTAAAAAAAATTCACAAAGCTATTTGAATTTGAATTTTCTTTTCTGCTTTAATTACTGGTGACATTTTTTAATTTTTTGTTTGATAGAATGATGATTTTGAATTATATTGGATGCATATATTTTGAATGTAAAAATGAAAATAATTATATCTGAGATTGGTTGACATGATAAAATTAAATACTTTTTAAGATTTAAATTTAAATGCGGTTGTCAATAATTTTTTTATGGATGATTTATAAAGATAATATAAATTATCTTTGACACTTGCAATATGCTATAATTTTGAAATGGGAAAGGTTCTTCTCACCTTATATATATTTTTTTCATTAATAAAAAAATAATTATGTGCTATTAGTTTGATATTCTAATATGAAATTCAAAACTTTTCATTAAAATTTATTCATAAAAGACAATATTATTAAATATTTTTAAAAAATAAATTAATTACTATAAAATAATTTTTTAATTAAAAATATATCAAATTAAATCGAGCACATTTATAAATGATAACGAGTCGAGTCAAAATAGATTTTACTCGCTTTAAACTTTGCTCGATTATATACATATAATACCCGATTCAATCCAACATTATATAAAATTATATTCGATCTAATTCGATTCGAAATTAATAAAATAAATTTTAAAATATAAAATATTATTTTTTTAATATAAATATAAATATATATAAAAATATAAATTAATTAATTAAAAAAATAATTTTTATACCTAATTTTCATTTTTCTCTTTTATCACCTTACCTGACTTGATATCAAATTTAAAAAAAATTAATTTTAAAAAATCAAATCGGATCAAATCCGTTGTTTACGAGCCAAACTGTTTTTCCTAAGCACATTAGATATACAAAAAATTAACTTGTCACTTTAATTTTTATATATTTATAGAAGACAAAAAATAAACATAAACCCTTTTTATTTTATAAATTTAACAAATATACATATATAAAATTTGGGCTTCAAATAAGTCCAAGTCTAAAGCAAAGTTTTCCAAGTTTTTATTTTCATTAGTAAAGAGGTAAGTTCGAACTTCAAACTGGAAGCAATCCAGCGAAAAAGCCAAAAGTACTAAGTCTCATCATCACTCACCAGTCGATCAGGTACCCTATCTTCTCCCTCACCCTGCCTTCAATTTCAGTTACATTGAATTTCAGCTTCTCACTTTTAAGTGCCCCTCGCTTTATTTTGCGTCTGACATGAATTTACTGCTAAGAGAGCAAGTCCAAGTCGACCCAATTATTTTTCTTATTTTGCTAAAAGGAAGAAAATTTGTTGAATAAGGCTTTGTTTCCAATCTGGATTTTATTCTTTTGGAAGAATGTTTAGTATTAACACTTTAAAATTCTAATCTTTTTGACCTCTGGGTATTTATATTTTGCATTTTTTGAAGGGTAATTATTGAAGTGAAGAGCCAAAAATGGCAGAACTGAGCCTTGGTATACTTATAGATATTGTTGATGAAGAATGGATGAGAGATACTCTGCCTGATGATGGTATTGATTAGGTCCAAACCTGCTTGCGGATTTATGTATAAATGTTTTGCATCTGTTATAGAACCGGGTTATAGGTATAGGTCATATATTGTTTTGTTATTCATTATGTTAAGAAATTGGTTTTGAATTCACATAATAATGTTTTGCCTGAGAAGATTATTGCATAATATGGTAGTCTACCATTGGTTATGATAGCAGGTAAATTTGTAAATAGATCATGTGTAGTTTTGGCACTGATTAGTTAAAATTGGCAGCGAGTTCTTATGTAAATGTTTCACCTGAGGTTATTGTGCAAGATCGTGTTCAACATTGGTTATAGAAGTACCATGCTCGCCCATGTTTCCTTGTGTAAAAAGGTTTCTACTTGTTGTACCACAATAGTTCCATTTTAGTGGAGTATTTGGAGGAGCTGAATAGCAATTGGGTCTATCTTTGAGCAACTTTCTGCTTCTCTCTTATATTTTCCATGAAAACCTGTCAATTGCATGTTTGTTGATTTTGTTTATGGGCATGGAAAGATGATCCTATTTGATTGTCATCTTTTTTTATTTTTTGGTTTTTTTTTTGCTCTCCTTTATAGCTGTTTTGTTTATCTTGTTGCTGATTAATGCAGATCTTCCACTACCACCTGTAATGGTTGCTCGAACTGATGATACTGAAGACTCAAGTATGTTTATAAACATTGGATTATACATTTTCTTTTTGAGCAATAGCATTAGAAAAATGCATCTATCATTTCATTGTCTAGATGCTCATGTCTCTTTCCTGTTTACGGCTGAGAACATATGTGGAGTATATGTGTCAATATATGTAAACTTGTAGTTAAATATAGCATGTTCTTGTTGTCAATTCTAATATTGTTTTGCAACAGATTTATTTTATTTACTCTCTTTTTTTTTTTTTTTTTCCTTTTGAATTTTCTTATTTTCTAGATCAGGATACTCAACAAGTGGATGGAAACACCTGGCATGATCTTGAATTAAGTACTCAATGATGGTCATGGATGCTGGCAGGGCTTAGTATCCTTGTATCAAGACGTAGCTCCCAAAAGATTTGATGCTTTCTCTCTTAATATGTTGTAGAACTATGATGCCAATTGGATCATGTAAGAAGGTTTGCGCATTAATTTGATCAAAACTGTTGAGGGATTTCTTGCTTTCATCTTATTCAAATAGAGCAAAAGACAAGTTTAGTTTGTGATTTTACACAACTATAATTTCTTATGTATTTTGTTGGTCACCTAAGGTTGTCTTAGCTGTTGATTGTTTAGCCACAAGGCATTGATTTGAAGGGTAATTTGAGTTTACATAGCTGAGTTTCTGCATTTGAGTATTCAAGTTTTTATGCTATTGATGTCCAAGCTGCTCATTCTACTAAGTAGATTCACCTCTTTTAATTGGTCCCTTACGGTTGTCTTAGCTGCTAAATTGTCTAGCTATAAGGCATTGATTTGAAGGGTAGTTTGGATTGCATAGCTGAGTTACTGCATTTAAGTATTCAAGTTTTTAATTTTTATGCCATTGAGGTCCAAGCTACTCTTTCTACATTGTAGATTCACCTCTTTTAATTGGTAATTTTAGTGTTGGGTTTTAGAATTTAGGGATTAAATTTAGATCAGTACTTAGAACATAATTTTTTTTATGGCCTAATGATTAATGTTTAGGATTTTGGCTTAGGATGTTAATCAACATTGATTATAGATGCTGACATACCTTTGAAGTTGAACAAGTTTCATCCAATTGGAGGTTGCAGGCTTAGCATAGCTTGTCCACAGATCAGTTGAGGTGAGTCCATGATGTGGTATAAAGCAATAATAATTGAGACATAAAAATCCATATGGCAATTCGAAGTTAAAGGGTCTTAGAGCTTCCTGGAACTGTGTTGGTTGAGTACAAAATGAAGGTGGCTCCTGAGATTATACGAGTAATCTGCTATGTTACCATCTTGAGCTAATGAATTTAGCTACTATCATTCAGAGCCACGATTATGAATCAAAGTACAAAATTTTCAGTTTTCCAGTGGTTGCTGCAACAAACTCTAGTTAAAGCGCTAAAAGCAAGGCATCATTCTCTCTTGTTGGACTGTATTTCTAGCCATTTTGGTAAATGTCTGGTATCACCACAAGTTGGCTTCCTAGCCAAAAGAGAAAAATAGGGAAAAAAAAACTCATTTCTGGCTGGGCGTCTGATTTTTATTTTTTGTCTGTTTCCACACTGTTGGAAACAAATCCTATATGATGCTTTATCGAAGTTCAATTAGGGAGTGCATGATGCATGTAAATGCTTCTCAGGCAGTGGATTTCTAGACGAAGGTCCATCAATTTTGGGCTTTCATTATCTAAAGAAAAGCAATCTTTAAGTCGGGAATAAAGATCTAAACCATTTCATAACTTGGAAACTTGGGCCATCCTTTTAGTATTGCTCGTCAAGTTCAAAGAATAGCTCCCACACTTTTTAAGGACCACTTAACAAAAAAAAGAAAAAAAAACGACTAGTATTGCTTGGACAATGCCTGGATAATACCCCACACTCAAAATACTTATTGTCCACGTGAAATAGATTAGATAATTTATATATATTTATATTTATATATTTCGTATTAAATATGTATAAAATATAAAAATTATCATATCATAATTCGTATTAATATATTTAATATAAAATTTATTTTTTATTTTTATCAATCTCACATTAAATTTTTATTAAAATTTTAAATCGAATAATTTTGATATTGTATAACAATTATGTGTTTGAAATAATCATATATATTTGACATCTTTTGCTATCTGCTCGTCTTGTCTTAAATCACAACAGAATTTTGATTCCTTACTAAACATGCATGCTTCAACCTAACGACCCGACCAGTGAACAACACATTCATATTTAGTTCATAAAATTGCTTCTTTACTGTTTATAAACTGAACAAAGCAAGCAGTAATTGCCATTTTCTAGTCTTTCAGATTCGTATAAATCAATTACAGTACAGCCTGAGAATCAAATTTTATCTGTCTCTAGAAACAATTAGCTTTCGCAATTGTATTCTTTTTAGCTCTCGCAATTGGATTCTTTGGATGATTTTCACCTACAATCATTTTCTACAAAAACAAACAAAAAAAATACAAACTTAAATGTATTATACATATTTTTATTGGAGGTGAGTATCGAGTACGTGTTAAATTTTTATATTTATATCATCAGATCAAAGACGAAATTAAAAAAGCAGCAAATAATAAATTTAAGAGAAATGAGGGCTAAAGATAATATCTGAGGGGATTAATTACAATTTTATAGAAAGGTTAAAACTTTTTTGAGTGGCATGGCCCTGCTTGTTATTTTGGTTATGTCTTTGTGTCTCGGACTTAAAGAAGAGTCTTGAATCTCACATCGAATATAATAAGAGAGTCACTAGGGTATAAAAGGGTTCACATCATCTCTATCGTGAGGCACTTTTTGTGAGACAAAACTATGAGGTCAAAGGGGTTAAAACGGACAATACCTCACAAAGGTGTGAAACGTGATTGTTAAGTTGATTTGAAAGGTCGGATAAGTGGATGTCCGGATCTCGGAGTCACGCGAATTCTAAGCTTAAGTCTCGATCCATGACACTTACATTAAATATGTATAGGATATGAGTAATTCAATAAAAATAAAGAATTAGAGCAAAATAAACCAGGAATACAAAGCTGGTTGTTGAAAAGTACTCGCAAATGCTATCGAAATACAGTTACTTGAAAATTTTACCCAAGAAAGAACAAAAAAACCATTATTACTCAGGTATCTAATTATCCTCTTAAGAAATCATTATCTAATTTGGACAAATGGAACTGGCAGACTGCTGAAGGAGGCTAGGAGTTTATGACCTGGCATGACAGTAATATAGAATGAATGAATGTTGGATATTTTAGGAACTAAGATGACTTGTCAAATTTACTAAAGACAGCCACAGCTGTAAAATACTAATGTTTGTGAATGGCTGTCACCGATAAACAATTTTAAGAAGGGAAGAGCATTCTTATCTTGATAGAGATGTTTATGTGATCGATTCTAAATTATTTAAAATTGAATTGGTTGAATTATATTATTTTATTTTTATAAATCAAATTAAAATTTTTAATTTTAAAAATTAATCAATTGAAATTAATTCATTGATTTGAAAATATTAAATTAAAAACTCTAATAATTTAATATAAAATGGATCATTTTATATAATTTAATTATATATATAAATTTATTATATTTTATTAAAATTTCAATTATCCTAATTATTTTGATTTTGAACCGAATTAATAAAAAATCGATAATTTCTTTAAAATTATTTAAAGACGTGCTTGTTTAAGCTGATTCCAAATCTTAAGGTGAAATAGTTAAATCAGAGAAAAAAATCCAGATGATGGAATTACAAGTCAGCGCATGATGCCTACACTGGATTTCAACATCAATTGGCACTTTTGTCGATTTCTTTATTATTTCTGAAGATAAAATTTGTAGCCGCCATCTGTAGTTATTTTTTGTTAGCATCTTCTTAAGATTATAGTAAAAGGAAGTCCACTTCTGAGAACAGTGTATTAATCGTTCTTCAAACATAAACATTACAGTAGTAAGGTGCCGACACTCAAATGGTTGGTGTCGACAGGAACAGTGGAGGCCCTACAACTCCAGCAACTAACCTTAATTAGATTTTTTAACCTGCCTGCTCCCTTTATTTCATTTAGATTTGGCAATTCCTATATCTATATTCGTTTATTTCGCCTCTAATACATATAAAATACGAAAATTATTATATTATAATTCATGTTAATAAGTCAAACATAATATATTAATAAAATTTTAAATTATATAGCTTTTAAATATATCTTTTATCATACCATTTTAATATCTAGTTACATATCATATTTAAAATTATCTAATCTATTTTCAACTATTTTCAACTATTTTCATTGCCGATGATAGTGGATATTATAATGCTAATTGGATAATAGCATCAGTTCAGTAGTGGAACCCAAAGCAGGCTATATTGCTGATATAAATTAGATTGTGTCAAGAAATGGAAAGGGGAAAGTAATTCATAAAGAAACAGATATGCCAAAATGTACAACTTCCACTGGTGATAAAATTTTCAATGTGCTTTGCTTTTCTATCAGCCTCATTTGGACCAACAAATGCTTGATGCTGAGTATATGAAAATTTATGTAGACATGCCTACCCTTTACACAGGTAACTGAGCTTGGATTTGTGTGTATAATGTCAGAAGAAAAAAGAGCATTTACAAAAAGTGATTTCCCTTTGGGTTTATTTCCTCATGCTGTATGTACTGTTGGAAAAGCTTTATGTATTTTCGCAATGATGCCACTGGCCTTCCTTCTGGCCCTTGTAGTCCCTGTATCTGCAAGTTCAGCTAGAGTATGCTTTTGAATTTCTTCTGCACTTATCACCATCAGCAAAGTCAGATCTTTTGAACACACATTGTACAGGATCGCGACACAATTCTCCTTGGTACGTTCAGAACCGCTATCTTTTATGATCTGAAGCAGACAGCGCAGAGTATCAGGTTCCCCAAGTTCATCAATAGCATTGTGATGTGTAGATAGCAGTGCAAGAATGCCCAGCAACTCATCAACAATTACACCATCTTTGATCTTTTGCAGGATCACTTTCACTGCCCCTATTTCAGTAAACTTTGCTTTGTTCTCAGATACAATGCATAGGTTGAATATTGCTGAAGCAGCATCCTTCATTGCCAATGGATGCCCTTCACATAAGAGTTGGAGTAAAGGCACAGGAGCACCTGAATTTCCAATGATGAACTTGTTTGAATGGCGTGTTGATAACGAAAAGATAGCAGCAGCAGCATTTCTTCTCGTTTCAATGGCTCCAAACTTCATAGATTCAATAAGCAGGGGGATGACAACAGGATCTTCAGCTATTAGTTTCTTATTGTTGCCATGAATTGAAAGGTTTAAAATTGTTGTTATCAAATTCTCCTGGAGATCAGGATCTGACTCAACCATGCTTTCTGATAGAGGACTGAGCAATCTAGAGATGGCATCAGTAAACTCACAAAAAACTGCCCGATATGATGGTGTTATCTTTGTTAGCCTCCGAAGCTCTTTAGCAGCTTCCTTCTGATCAGAAAGCGAAGAAGACATCTTTTCAAGCAACGAGTTTAAGTAAATCCGGTCTAACTCAGGAATCGTTTCTCCATCAATATCCTGATAGGATTTTGGTAGTGCAATGCCACGTTCTTTGCACCATTGTGAAATTAATTCCCGCACCAAGCAGTTAGGGGTCAAGATAGAGTGGGAGAGCACTTGTTTGGTCTGAGGGCATGTTAGGTTACCTTCATTCAACCACTTCTGAATGTGTGGCCTATCATAAGTCTGAAAATGGATAAGATACCGTTAATGCAGATGATTAACAAGACAAAAAAACAAGACTAAATATGAAAATCGCTCAGAAAGAAGGTAAAGATAATGAAATCGTAAAGACCATGCAAAATTTAGGCTCAGATTATTATTTCCTAGAACGAGAGCTGGAAAGTTATGCTAGAAAGGGAAAAAATTGTTGAAGTTCTAGGCTAATTTATGTCATTGTGCCCGTTAATGCAGCTGATTAACAAGACAAAAAAACAAGACTAAATATGAAAATCGCTCAGAAAGAAGGTAAAGATAATGAAATCGTAAAGACCATGCAATATTTAGGCTCAGATTATTATTTCCTAGAACGAGAGCTGGAAAGTTATGCTAGAAAGGGAAAAAAATGTTGAAGTTCTAGGCTAATTTATGTCATTGTGCTATTAGCAGATCCATTAATATACCAGTCAATATGACTTAGAGTAGTCCACATCGACCTATTGATATCTAACCAGCTAAGGAACAACCTTTTTTTTTTTTTTCAATGCAAAAGAGGTCACAGTTTGGGGTTAAAGAAGGAGGTCGTAGGTATTGGGATTTTAACTTCAAATCTACAGGATATCGTTTCTTTAGAGTGACTGCATGAACCAACGGAACTAAGCTCCGGGTTCAAAACAGTTTCTTTTTTGAGAAGTTTTACCTTGTTAAAACATGAATATCTGGCACACACCAGATTCATTTCCAACTGAAACAAACCAAGAATAACTTAATATTTGAAAATTTTGGAGTTTCAACCTATCAGGTTGGCAAACTTCTTGTGAGATTTCTTTCAAATCACTCAAGTTCAAAAAAGAGAAACAAAGCAAATATACGGACAGAAAAGACATTGGGGTGATCAAGATCAAACAATGTACTTCTATTGTAAAAAATTCTGTCATAACTCTTAATCAAAATGGAACTTTTTGTTAGGAAAATGGGTCCAGTCCTATGTAAGTGATTTTGGACTAAGTAAAGATCATGGGCTTTGATCTTTTATTTTACACAGAGCCCTAGCTACTTAATAAAAAAGAGGTGGAGTTGTTTTAGGTGTGTGTCGAAAAAAAAAAAGAAAAGTAAAAAAAACAGAGAGAGAAAAAGGAGAATGGAGAGTTGGTTAAATGGAAGTCGATCCGTGGTCCGATTGAGTTAGAATCTTGTCAGGAAGTTTATGATTCAAAGTTCTACACTCTGAACGGTGAAGATTGGGTTTGAAGCTCTTTAGGAACAAATCCAGGGTATATTTGTTGAGTCACTTATTTAGTGAGATTTCCTAATTGTTTCTCTAGTTATTGATTAGCTCTAGTTTTAGCTAGAGAAGAACTTTGTATAACTATTATTTGATAGTGAAAATTTTTCTGGTGGTCCGTGATTTTTTCCCTCTACATTGGAGGGTTTTTTACATAAATTTTAGTGTGCTTTATTTTTTTTGCGTATTTAATTATTGATTGTTGTCTATTGCCTCTGTATTGTTGTGATTATTATTTCTGGCGAAACACTTTTGCCATTTTTACCCATTACCAGGACTTAAACGAGGACCGACAACAAGGGTAAATCACATTAAAAAAAAATTGAATTTTGCTTTACATGCATGATGCAACTTGCAATTTATAAACATTTACTCAATAAAGTAAAGATTTGTAAGATTTCGCAGTAACTTTAATGCCAAACGGGAAAATTTTCTATACAGCAAAAATCCTTTTGAATATTTCATAGAAAAGAAACCTTAATATGAAACAAACCAACCAGAATTCAAACAGTCTAAGCATGATAAAGAGAGCCAATTTACCATTACAGAAACAAAGTAAAAAGACTCGGGCTTTAAAGTCTAACCTGGCCTGAAGCCAAGACAACAGGATCACCCATGATTTCACCTGAAAGAGGACACTTGAATTTCTCAGGTAAAACCGTATCATCTATTCCAAGACCAACAGGTTTTTTCAGCTTCAATTCTGCTAAACAAGACAAAATTCTTATAGCTTCGATTGTTATCTCAATCCCGTATTCACCTTCTTCAAGAATCATCTTCACCACCCTTTGCAGTTCTTTCTTTAACTCTGTTTCTTCCCCTGCTGCTGCGGTCTCCTCTTTTTCAGCCATTGAAGAAAGAAAACAAAAAGGAGTTCTTTGGAAATACAAAGGAACAAGATTTAGTACCCAATCAAGAGAAACGAACTTGGGTTATGTTTAGAAAGAGAATGGAAAAGAAAATATTTAAAATCGAGTCGATTCAATGGATTTTCTTATATTTTCTTTCTAGTTTGCTCTGCACATTCCTCTGTTTTCTATATTGAAAAAAAAAAGAAAAACAGGTTCTTGCTTCTTGGAAAGAAAAAAGGATCGAAATTTTAATAAAGAAAGTAAAAGTGGGATTCTGATTGGGAAGAGAGAAAAGAAAAGAAAAGAAAAGGTTGAAAATTGGAGTAGATTTCCTTATTGTTTTTTCTTTGTTTCTCTGGTACAACTGATCAACTATATGAACTATCTGCTGATGCTTTCGACTAAAGAGAGATGATTGTGCTACAAAGTGAGGTAGGGACTTTAGGTCACGGTGAGATTTGATTGGCTGGCACTTGGCCTACCAATTACCTTTTGCCATGCAACTATCTTTAATCTGTCAAAAGAACCTTCTGTTTCTCAAACTAATGGGTTTTTTTGTCAAAAGAATCTTTAATCTGAATATGTTAAAAAGTAGCATTTGAAATTTGTTTAAATAAATAAAAAAAAGTCAAGACTTTGAGATTCCAAATAAAGTCTTCAAAGTTTACTTATCATATGATTATTAATTTGTTAAATGTTTTTTCAAAGAGATTATACTATAAATAAAAGAAATGATTGTAAGAATTAAATTTTAAATCTTAAATTTATTAATATTATTTTATGTCATGAATTATTTTAATTACATTTCGGATTGAATTTGTTAAATGTTTAATAGGTAGAGATTAAAATAATCCAAAAAATTAATCATAGTTAGATATGTGGTGGGAGCTTAAATCTTTTTTCCCCTTATTTTTCTTTGGTCTCTTATTCATTTTAATTTACAATTTCTTATATAAGAAATTTATTTAAATTAAAGTAATTATTATCAAACTTTAAGATGGTTAAATTTTAGAACCTAAATTGAAAAAAATTACAATTAATAAAAGCAAAAATGAAAGGAAAAAAGTATGACACTTATTGGGAAATTGAATGGAAAATCAATGCATCAATCAAACGGGTATCAAGCTAAGATATTAGGTGACTGTGAAGTTGGAGTGTACATTTTGTTAAGATGACTTCTATCATGAGCTCTTGTTGGAAAGAGAAGGATAATGATATCCTTTTAGAAATAAAGTTTGATTGATTGATCTAGATAACTACAATTTTTAATCTCAAATTAAAAAAAAAAAAGATGATTACTACCCCTTGAATCAAATGCAAAGCCAAAGTCAAGAAAACACTGGAGACATCTTCATTCATGTCATCAGATTCTTAAGGATTATATCTATAATCAAATCCATTTTGTGCCCTGGAGCCTGAATTATGATTATAAGAGCTCCTCTGATTCCTGTCTCTACTTCCTACTTCTGGCCATCCTTTATTGCACGAAAGTCGTCGAAAGAATTAGAAACTTAATAAGATGATTTGTAATCCTTATATTTGGAAATACTAGATGGCGGTTTTGGTGGTTGTTCTTGAAGCTGTCAAAGTGGAGTAGGGAGGTGTTGATGGATTGTTGGAGTTGAACATGATCTTCTTCTTGGTTTGGAACTTCGAAGTCTGGTTCTTGGTTCATTTCACCCATGGGTTATGCCTTTGTGGATTCTTCAGTTTTCAATCTTTGTTAGAGATTGTGCTTCTTGGTTGAAATGCAGGGGAAGAGGGAAAAGGAAAAAGGCAGAAAAACTGTTAACGGTTTTTATAGAAATTTCAGGGGCGTACGGATGATTCTTGAATCTTGATTGTTTGACAGATGTTGTAACTGACAAGCCAATCAGGAAATGGAATGTCAAAATCCAATGAAAAAATGAAAAATAAAAACCAATCATGCGATGCATTCATTTCCCTAAATGAAGAAGGGTTGGGTCCAAACTAAAAACAAATTTCAATACTCCATAATATATGATCAAAATAAAATACAGAGGGGTTTACATAAGCCAAAGAACATAAGAAACCTCTTTATTTTATATATTCCAACACAAGAATTTTACTAAATTCAATGAGACAAACAAGTCAAACATTATTCCGAACAAGCTGCCACATAAATTTCATGGGTGTATAAATTTTCCTCCAGTTGTCCACTAGAATCGGGACTGAAGATAGGTAACCACAGTCTTGTCCAACTGGAAGGCCTTGGCAAGAACATCAGGATTGATTGGAGGGTTTGAGCCAAAGACTGCGTTTGCAATGAGGATAAGTCCCGGGTTTTGGCTGCTAAGACCAGAAATGGCAACAGCATTGGTGTTCCCTATGTTGAACTGGAAGTGAATGAGGCTGATTGGGAAAACGAAAAGATCTCCAGGGTATAGGACTTTGGTGATGAGACGATTATCCGGGTTGGATGTAACAAAGCCAACGTAGAGTGTGCCCTCCAAAACGACTAGGATTTCTGTGGCTCTAGGATGAGTGTGAGGGGGGTTTAGGCCACCATAGGGTGCAAAGTCAAGTCGAGCAAGGGATATGCCAAGAGTGTTGAGTCCTAGTATTTGTTCAACAGTGACTAGAGTGACTTTTGATCCTAGTTGATTTGCTGTATTTCCAGGAATGTTGAGGCCCGGAAAAAAGAAGTCATCTGCGGTGACAAGCTTTGGGTCCTTGCAAAACTTGCCATTAACAAAAACTGCATAAATGGAAACACAAAATTACCACTTTGATACAATTCCATGCAGGAAACGAGATAACACAGCTCAAATAGTTTTAGGTGTTGACATGAAAATATTCCAAAGAAGACAGAGAGAGTTAAAGAACATACCACCATTGTTGGTATTGTTAATTGCTACACAGAAGTCCTGAAGAGGGCTGGGATCAAAGGCAGAGGCAAATGTGAAAGCCAGAGCCAACAGGACAAATGCTACATGGAAATGAACACCTTTCATTGTTGTAAGGAAGCTTTCTTGATTAAATTGTTCCAAGTTTTGTTGCTTGGTGAGGAGTGAGAGATCTGGCATGAGAGCATGCCATTTATAGATTGCACTCACTGAACAGGTCTAGTCCTTTTCATTATTTAATTATTCTTTTGAGAAAAAAAAATGATAGATTTACCAAGTCTGCCAGGGTTCTTGTTTTAAAAAAATATGAATAAATCTTTCTTCAGCTACTCTGTGCCTCTATGTTCATCGAATTTAACCTTCCCTTGTTTGCATAAGCAAATTGCAATGGAACTGGTCAATCTTTACACACCAAATGTTATCTTTGTTTATTTAACTATATTGACTTCAAAACAAAAATCAAAAGAAATGTGTTTGAGTGTACAAAACCACAATTCTTGAATCTTTCCAAGGCTTTTGCATGACAACTTCTCAAGTCATTACTTCTCTCGAATGGCTCCTCAAGTTTAATTTCCTCAACACCATTAGCATCCAAACTCTGTGAATCTTGTCCCAAATTGAGTGAATCAGTCATCTTTTCTTTCATCGGAAACAACAACAACAACCGTGATGCACCTTCTAATACACATTGCTTGATCATATCAATCGCAAAGAACTTCCCATTCACTTCACCATACAAAACAGAAAGCTGAGAACCTAACCAAATTAAAACTTGAAGCAAAATAGTAAATTCAAACATTCTCCTCCCCAAATTCAAATCCCATTCTTTCTTCTCAGCTTCTCCATATTCCATCCCTACTTCCATCAAACCAACCGCTTCCCTCACCACAGCTTTCAAGCACAACCTAACCAGCAAAACTATATGATCCCCCATAAACTCATCAGTCACAACACCATACCGCCGCGAATTAGCAACTACCCATTTCTTCAAATCACTTCCTTGCACCATTCTCGACCCCAAGATCCCAAAAACAACATTAAACGAATATAAAGCAGGGTAATCACCCCACCTCTCAACTTCACTCCTAATTTGCCATAAACCCTCGGCTAAAACCCTCAAACCCTTTTTTCACTAACCTTACTCTCCCCTTCATTAAAACCCTCAAAATTAACGCACTCAAATGAAAAAAAAAAAAGGGTAAAGTAAAAGTTTTTAGAGTTATCAATATCAAACAAATAAACAATACCTGGATAATCTTTGTAAAAGAAATGAGACCCAAAATCAGAAAAGTAATCATCTAAAGAGAGGCAAAGTTCTGAGCATTGTTTACCCTGAAAAAGGGTGCGCTGGGGATGTAAATTTGGAGGGGGTTTGAGAGTATTTCGGTAATCTGGGGTTAAGGTCGAGACTTTGAGGGGAAGGGCAGTGAATGGAATGGGAGAAGTGGGATTCTGGTGGGAGGAGATAATTGGGGTTGAAAGGGCAAGGGACGAGGTTGGGTTTCAGGGATTGGTGAGGGTAGAATGGGAATTGAAGGTTTGGTGGGAGAGAGATAAGAGGGAGGTGATAGAGATAAAAGGAAGGTGGAAAGGGTGGAAGAGCAATTAGGGTTAGGGCTTTGTGGGAGGGAGATGATTGGGATATTAGGGTTAGGGCTTTTGGAAGGGAAAGAGGGTTGAATTGAAGAAGGATTCATGGCGTTTGGATTTGCAGGAGCGGTGGGGCACTGAAAGAGAAAGCGCAGGCCTTTTGGTTCTTTGGCCAAGTTCTTTTTTTTTTTTTTAAATTAAATTGAAACTACTTCATGTCAACTACTTCGCAAAACATTTTTACTTATTTATTTTATACATCATTTGATAAAATTATTAAATTGTAGAAACCAAATTGAAAAATTGTCATTTATTATTTTATTATTATATATTATTTATTTTTGGCATTTCAAATTAAAACTGTAAATAATATGCCAGCAACCAAAGGAAGCGGGATTTGAAAAACTTCAGAAATTTGGTGAAAAATATTGAATACACATGAAAAGTTCAGCTGTCTAGGTTTTCCTTCAATTTGCTTGGGTGCCGACAAAAAAGTTGTGAAAACAATGGAAATTATTTTCAAAACAAAACCAATATAAACACTTTTGATTCATTAAAACAAATTGAAGAGTAAATGAAAGTAAACAGAGAAGCCCAAAAAGACTACTTGGTAGAATTCAAAGTCTTGTGTGTTGGTTTCAGGTAAATCATAGTTGTTATAGTGTTTCTACCAATTGATCAAGACATTTGATCTGTTCCTAAAGCCTCCAAAGTCCAATGTTCTTTTGGGATATGGCAACCTGTTAGAAGGATTTTGGTAATCTTAGATATTATATTCTAATTTGCAATGGGCTTAGTTGATTAACAATTAGAGCAAAAATGGAATATGGGAATGATTCTCTTTGATGTTAAAGCTCCATTGGTAGAGAAGCTTCCTACTGTATTAACTACTTAGGAATCACATAACTTGATTTTTTGTCACCTATAGTAATCTTCAAAACTTTTTTCTCTTATTTTTTTTGGCATTTAAAATTATCATATTTAAATTCTGATCATTAAAATTAAAAATCCAACGGTTTATTAATCGATCACGGTCGTCGGCAACTCCCTTCTTTTAAGTGAAAACTCTTGCTCCTAATTTGGGTTTTCTAGCTATAGGTTTTTTCTTGTTTTGTCCCAGCTAAAATGACAAAGTTTGTACCACATTTTGGACCATGCTGTGAACTGCAAATCAAAATGGAAAACCTTTGACGGGGTTGCGTTAGTGAATGATGCTTAGGCTCGAAAATTGCCATAGTTTTGATTCCGAACAACTTCAATTCTAATTCAAAAGTTCACCACCGATCCATGTACATGATTGTAACCTGGTACTTCCGGAACTTTTACCAGAAAGGTAGTCTAAAGTTTTCAAACGAAGGCCAGTGTCAAATGTGTCAACTTTTCACTCAGGATTCTAGATAAGGCTGCTTCAGTCAATTTTATTAATAAATTATTAGAATGAACACTGAATATTATGCCACTAATCTGTGAGGATATTGTTGATTCACCAAAACAACTTTTGGATTAGTAACAGGGCACCCAAACTAAATGCAGCCACTTCCATGTCAAAACTGGATTGATATAAGCACAAGAAAAAAGCAATTTAATAAGGATTAAATGTGCTGCAGTTGAAATAGAAAACAGATAACCGTTGAAGACTTGGCAAATCCAACTTTTCTTTGTGGAGTGAAAAACAAAATTATGCCTGCAGTTCAATGACCCCATTCTATAAATAGGCTTGTAATCCATGAAAGAATTCGCATCCTTCATCTCAAACATATACCAATTAGAAGGATTTAAGTTTTAAGATTAGTCTGGTCAAAATGAAAGGTTATTATTTCCTTGGATCTTTTGCTTTCTTGGCCTTGGCTTCCTCTTTGGCCTCAGCCTATGACCCAAGCCCTCTCCAGGACATCGGTGTAGCCATTAAAGACCCTAAGACTGGAAGTTTGCTCTCTAATTTTTAACTTTCTTGTTCTTCAGAAATGTTTGAATTAATGTCTCAAAACATAGTTTGACATGTCTTTAACCAACACCTTTCCATTGCAGTATTTGTCAATGGGAAGTTCTGCAAGGACCCAAAGCTTGCTACAGCAGATGATTTCTTCTTCTCAGGACTTAACATCCCTGGAAATACATCAAATCCTGTTGGATCAATTGTGACTCCGGTAAATGTTGATCAGATACCAGGCCTTAATACTCTTTGGCATATCCTTGGTTCGTATTGACTATGCACCCTTTGGAGGGCTCAACCCACCTCACACTCATCCTCGTGCAACAGAGATCCCAGTAGTCCTGTAGGCCACCCTCTATGTTGGTTTTGTTACCTCCAACCCCGATAATCGCCTCATATCCAAAGTCCTTTATCCAGGAGATGTTTTCGTCTTCCCTATTGGCCTCATTCACTTCCAGCAAAATGTAGGAAAGACTAACGCTGTTGCATTTGCTGGTTTGAGCAGCCAGAATCCTGGTGTGATTACAATAGCAAATGCTGTTTTTGGATCAAATCTACCCATTAACCCTGATGTTCTTACCAGGGCCTTCCAGCTTGACAATAATGTGGTGAAGTATCTCCAGTCTCGTTTCTGGTGGAAAAACAATTAAGGAATAGTCTTAAAATATAGCCACGAAGTAGTAGTAGCTTGTTTGCAATCTCTTCTTCATTAGGGAAATCATACTACTAACCAGGATATATAGCTCTCTATGTTTGATCAGTGTTGATCAATATTTTAAGTTGCAGCTTGTATTGGGTATTGACTCTGCCTATGGTGCAGAGAAGCAAGAATACAAGATTTAATTAAATCTTAAATTAACGGTAAGAAATTGAGATAAATCCTTTCAGAAAATCCCATATTAGAACAATATGCAAGGAATTTGGAATTTATGAAATGAAGGCCTTGGCATTTTGCTTTCAATGGAACAGGTAAGATCTCCCATTAGTGAGGATTTAGGATGTTGATTGTTTTCTATCATGTTTCAGTAGCTTGTTAATTAGAACCAGAATCCATGTCGGATTCGGATGCTGCTGTTTGTTAGAGATTTGTCCAATATTTGATTTAATTATTGGCAATATTGTAAAGAAATCACTCTCCTGAATATTTGTTTCATAAGATAAACACAAGTAGAAGCCTTCCATTAATTGGATGTTCAACCTTGCAATTAAAAATATTTGATGTTAATTATCACTTTAACAACTTTTTTCATTTGGGTTTAAGTAACTAAAGGCTATTTTTTTTTAATACATAAGACGTAATGATTTGAATTTGAATTACTAAAATTAAGAGTCAAACATTTTATTACATATTGGGCTATTAATAATTAGAGACTCAAGTTTGTATGAAATTTCGAATACTCACAACTACTTACTATTATCGGTGATTCCATGATAGTCATGATGGTTTAGTAGGAAAAAAAAAAATACTCCTAATCATATTTTACACTTCTATTTCTTTTCTACAATGTGGAGTCAGAAAGGTAAGCTAAAATATTTTGGAAACATTTGTTAGAATTTGGGGTTTGGAAAAATATGAGAAATTGAAGAGAGATTTCAAAGTGTGTAACCTAGTTACTTTCTTTAAAGTTTTATTCACCTTCATTATTTAATTAATTAGTATATAAAAGAATTATTGACGATGAATTTAAAAAATATAATGAAATTCAATGTTTGATTGCATTTTATACTAATAAAATTAATCCATTGAGCATTCACTAACATAGAAATAGAATTATTTGATTTGGTTATAGAAAGTTTGTGGTTGTGAGGCTTTTTCTAGCTTTTGTTTCATGTACAACATATTTCTATTTAAATTTTATTTTCTACTTTTGTTTCATGTACAAAATATTTCTACCTAAATGATATTTTCTGTTTTGTTTTTCTTCCAAAACCTAAAAGGTTCTATTTATAATTAACTAAAAGTCTCATTGTACAGACACAATTATCTATAAAGATATCTATTTATATAAACACAACTTCTTATAAAACATAACTCTAGTAAATAATTATGTCATTTAAAAAGATATAACCTTTCATTATCAGATGCAATTCATGTGATTAGTTATTTTGAAATGTTCCAAAAACATTTGTTCCAGCCATTATCAGAAATCAATAAATTGAATTTATTTAAACCTTTGATCGGATGATGACAACTTAATGTCTAAATGGACCTAACCTTGCACAGCAACGATAATATCATAAAGATAAGGACAAAAATAATACTGCAAATGTGCTTTTAGTTCATCTAATCGAACTACCAAGAAAAAAAAAACAAAGCAATGAATATCATCCCAAACGAATTTAAGGGGCATTAAGAACCCACTAGCTCTATCAGAATCTCTGTGTAACTTTTATTACTAGAACCAAGCTGGAGAAGCTGAGCTTGAATCCTCTGATATATAGGTCACTCATAGTTAAGAAATTTCAAGTGATTATCTATTAGAATTTTGGAATAGTTTTGTTTTGTATTGAATTGAGTGATATCACACCCTGGTTTCCAACTTATGCAGCCAGGCCATGTTTCAGAAAACTTGTAAGAAATGACAAACTAAGTAATTAAAATGCAATATAAATATCAGTTTACAGTTATGGTATTTGCCTCAGACAGTATTTCTTTTTTTTTTTTTGAGTGTAAAGGAGGCCAATGTACGAAGATAGGGGAAGGGTTGCAGGTGCTGGGATTTGAATTCCAGATCTGTTGAATGTAACTTTTTTAAGAGTGATTACTCAAACCAATTGAGTTAAGTTTCGGATTTGACATTTAATATTTCAGCTGACCCCCAGCTAAAGAACCAGTGCAGTAGACATTTCAATTGAAAGTTGAAACATCCGCGAGGATGAGTTTTTTGTCATAGAAATTTTGGGATGGTGCATAATTTAATTTGATTTCAATCCAGTAGGAAAAAGGAAAAAAGGTCACTGGAGGGCTGCTGTAAGTATAGGAAGGAATTGAGGGTGAACAATAATTCCCCATAAATTGGAAAATAAATAACCATTAAAGACTTGGCCGGTCTATATATGCTATACTTAAAAAAAATGGTATAGAGCATTTCAGGTTCCCTGCCTATAAATAGGCTTGTTGACATGTATGTTTTTTAACCTATATCGAGACAATGAAAGGTGCTGGTTTCCTTCTGGCTTTCAACCTCTTGGTTTTGGCATCCTCGTTTGTCTCTGCCTATGACCCTAGCCCCCTCCAGGACTTCTGTGTAGCCATCGATGATACCAAGAATGGTGGTAAGTCTCTTTGTCATCTACTCTTCTCTCCACCTTTTTTTTTTTTTGTGCTTTTGCAATGCATGCTTTCAACTAATTAACATTTCTTTCCTCAAGTGTTTGTGAATGGGAAGTTCTGCAAGGATCCAAAGCTTGCTACTGCAAACGATTTCTTCTTTTCAGGGCTAAACATCCCAAAGAACACATCAAACTATGTTGGATCAGCAGTTACTCCTGTAAACGTTGACCAAATACCAGGGCTAAACACATTAGGCATATCTTTAGTTCGTATTGATTATGCACCAAATGGTGGGCTAAACCCGCCGCACACCCACCCTCGTGGCACAGAGATCCTTGTGGTCCTAGAAGGTGAACTCTATGTTGGATTTGTTACATCCAATCCGAATAATCGCCTTATCTCTAAAATCCTTTATCCTGGAGATGTTTTCGTCTTCCCCATTGGCCTAATTCATTTTCAGCAGAACGTTGGAAAGACCAAGGCTGTAGCTTTTGCTGGTTTGAGCAGCCAGAATCCTGGTGTGATTACAATAGCAAATGCTGTTTTTGGATCAAATCTACCCATTAACCCTGATGTTCTTGCCAGGGCCTTTCAGCTGAGTAACAAAGTGGTGAAGTACCTCCAGTCAAGGTTCCGATCGTTTTGAGCTAGTTTGGAACAATACATGAAAGGCAGAACAGCAGTTTTACACTATGTTGCAATGGCTTTCCTTTCCTTTATTCAAAATAAATTCTTAATAAATCCAGAGTTAACTCAATTGGTTTATACGTTATTCTTAGCAAGTGGGATCTAACAGGCTTTGAGTTTGAATTATAAGTCACAGCACTTGCAACTCCTTCCTCTTCCCCTAAGCTGCGACATCCCTCGTACCCAAAAGAATAAAAAATAAATTTTTTATCCATATTAACCAATTTAGCAGAGTGCTATGTTATGCAAACTTCTTGAATCCCTCTCTCCGGCAGTTGGAGCTGCCCATGTAGACAAATTTTTAAGTCTCTCTACGGAGAAATAGTGAAAATGGCAGGTTGGAAACAATTATAATTAAATAGTTTTAAGATTAGTTCATATATAGTAATACTTCCAGTTGAAAAAAAATTTGTGATCAGAAAAAGAAAATTGAAAATTTATTCAACTGTTTCAAGTGGGCATTGAAAAAGACCTGATTGGTTCCGTACAGCTTCATTAACACAAGCAAGAGTAAAACAATACCGAATTTTGGGATGAATAAACAAGCTAATTGCCTTATAACCTGGTCAATAATTTAATTAATTTGAGGATTCAGTTTTGGACTATAACATTAATTTTTAAGAATGTGTTAAATCTCTCATGATCAGGTGATTGACGTACCATTCACAAGTTTGATATTCTGATTTCAAAGGAAAAAAAAATACAATCTGATTTGACTCTGAAAGTTAAAGCTTGCGTTGGATAATCAACCAGGGGTTAGTTGTAGGGTCTAATGGTATTATCAATATCCACCGACAAAGCTTTAATAACTTTTGTTCCTTTTTGGTACACATCTTAATTTTGGTTTTCTCAATCATACCAAGGGAATTAATTAATTAACAGCTTACCAGACCAAAGAGGAACAGGCATTAATTTCAATTCATTGCAATGTCCTTAGGGAACGGTATTCAGTAATTTTTGAACCAAATTACGGAATAAGGGCGTTAGGATGGAATAAAGCTGGAATGAAACCAGTCAACCAATATGCTGTTAGAAAGAATTCAGTTGCCAGAAGGGTTAGGAAATTTGTATTCAAGCTGGGATTGTATGACGTGCTAGAAATATTGCCAAAATGTATAAATAGAATGGACTACAATAGACTGTTCTTAGCTTGAATTCGAGTAGACATTCAGATGTTTTAGCAATCATCTGAAGTTCTTATTGTTTCAAAAGAATTGTTCTTTGCTTGAATTAGTAAAATTAGATAAATACTTAACAAGGTTTTACAGGAGTAGATTAAATAATCCATGATAGCCACGGTTTGGAAGTTCCATAAGAATTCTAACAGGCAGAAGAAGAAGCATTTCCTTTTGACAATGGGTTATCTTCCATGGCCTTTGCATTCTCTGAAAGGTTAGTTTTTGGAGGGGGTATAAGGGTCAGAAGCAGAGCGGTGGAGCTGTGGAAGAGCGAGCTTGGAGAAGCCAGTGAGGGGGTACTGGAGGTTGTCAAGTGAAGGCTTTTGGGACTTGGGTTCTGAGATTGGTTCAGGAGAAGGACGTTTCATTGGTGAATTGACACAGATTGTAAAATCATTTTTGGTTATTGTTATTGTAAGGTATTTTAAAATTGATTCTTGATAACTCATCATTTCTTGGTTTGGAACTTCAAAGTTCTTCTTGTCTTTCTTTTTTCTTTTGTAATTTCTTCAGTTAATCTTTGTTAAAATCTTAACAATCCTAAATCAAACCACGAATAGCTGAAACACCGATAAGGTTCAATACGGACGGTAGGTGATTTTCCAGTTTGAAAACCATGAGATTCAAATCCCAGAACCAATCTGAGAAATGAACCCAATTCAACTCTATAATAGGGTGTAAAACCAATCAAATTGTACTCCAAATTAATAAAAAAAAACATAGAGTTTCATAAGCCAAGAACATAAAATATTTTATTATTCCAACAAGAAATAAAAAAATTCAATAAGAAACAGTCACTTATTCGAACAAGCACTCATAAATTTCATGGTTATAATTTCTCAACTCACTAGAAACTGAAACAAGTAACCACTTTAACAAAAAACATAGATTGATTTTGACAAAACTGCATTTGCAATGAGCAATTTTTGGCGCAAGTGAGATTTGTTCCTTGGGGTGAATAATTGGAGTCAATCTGTATAGGATCCGATGAGGTAGGTCGTGAGAATTTTTTTAGGGAATGAGTGTATTATACATTGGGGCGCAAAGTCAAGTCGAAGCAAGAGATATGCCAAGAGTGTTAAGTCCTAGTATTTGTTCAACAGTGACTAGAGTGACTTTTGATCCTAGTTGATTTGCTGTATTTCCTGGAATGTTGAGCCCGGGAAAAAAGAAGTCATTTGCGGTGGAGAGCTTTGGGTCCTTGCAAAATTTACCATTAACAAAAACTGCATAAATGGAAGGAACAAAATTACTACTTTGATACAATTCCATGCAGAAAATGAGATAACACTTCCCAAATAGTTTAGGTGTTGACATGAATACATTCCAAAGAAGGCAGAGAGAGAATTAAAGAACATACCACCATCGTTGGTATTATTAATTGCTACACAGAAATCCTGAAGAGGGCTGGGATCAGAGGCCGATGCAAATGAGAAAGCCAGAGCGAACAGGACAAATGCTACATGGAAACGAACACCTTTCATTGTTCTAAGGCAGCTTTCTTGATTAAATTGTTCCAAGTTTTGTTGCTTGGTGAGGAGTGAGAGATCTGGCGTGAGAGAACGCTATTTATAGATAACACTCACTGAACAGGTCTATTCATTTTCATTATTTAATTATTCTTTTGAGAAAAAAAAAAAAAGACAAATGAAAGATTTACCAAGTCTGCAGTGATTATTGTTTTAAAAAAATATGAATGAATCATTCTTCAGCTACTCTGCGCCTCTATCCTCATCGAATTAATCTTCCCATGTTTGCTTGAGTAAATTGCAATGGAACTGGTCAATCTTTACATTGCAAATGTTTTCTTTGTTTATTTAACTATATTGACTTTAAAACAAAAATCAAAAGGAATGTGTTTGAGTGTGCATGCATCTCAGATTGAACTGTGTGAACTAAGACAATGAAACTTATCCAGAGATACAAAACCACAATTCATGAATCTTTCCAAGGCTTTTCTTGGATGACTACTTCTCATGTCTTGCTTGCTATTTTTCTGAATTAATGAATTGATTTCCTAGAGAGGTTCATTAGCCGGCCTGCAGCATTAATTCCCGGAAATCATTTTTACAATTAAAATAGTGAATAATAAGAATAATAAAAGGAGAAGAGAATGAAGAAGAAAAGAGATCAGGTTTTAACTTTCAACATTAATCACTGAAGCTAAAGTGAAAGTGAGGCAGTGCTTTAACATATTAACTAAGAATTAATTTTAGCCCTGATCAAAATGAAAATCGCAAACAATTTTCAAGCACCTATGGCTATACTGTCACTAAAGTTGGACGGTAAGAATCAGAAAGATGATAGAGCCCGTACAGTTAAGTGTATCAGTGTATATGTTTGATATGCTAGGAATGTGGGGTTCAACCTCATTCTTTTGGACCAATCAAAGATCACGGGCCTTTTGATTTTTGTCTTTTAATCTAAAAAGGGAGCCCTATATATTAAATAAATGAGGGTTGTTTTGGCGTAAAAAAGAAATAGAGTGGTGTTGCCGCAAAGAATAGAAAGGACAAAAGCCAAAATATTAGAGAAAAAAAGAAAGAAGAGAGAGTTAGTTAAATAGAAGTCGATTCGTGATTCGATTGAGTTAAAATTTTGTTAGTAAGTTTATGATTCAGAGTTCTACATTTTGAACAGTGAAGATCGGGTTTGAAGCTCTCTAGAAACAAATCCATGGTGTATTTGTTGAGTCACTTATTTGATGAAATTTCTCAAATTATTTCTCTTATTGTTGATTAGCTTTAGTTTTAGCTAGAGAAGAACTTTTTATATCCATTATTTGATAGTGGAGATTTTTCTGGTGGTTCGTAATTTTTTCCTTCTACACTAAAGGGTTTTTTTACGTAAATCTTGGTGTGCTTTTATTTTTCTTGCATTGTTGATTGTTGTCTATTATTGTGGGTTTCTTGCAATGTATTACTTCTGCGTTGTTATGTTTGTTGCTTCAAGCCCAACAAGTGGTATCAGAGCAAAGGTTATTTTAAGAAATCAATACAGAAGTAACCTAGGACAGAAGTAAATTCTGTTTGAGACCATGAAGGGCGATACAGGTTTCATGATAAAATTGATAGCATCAAATTATTCAAATTGGAAGCTTATGATGGAAGATCATTTATACTGCAAAGATTTGTATGAGTCGATATTGGGTGATTCGACTAACCTAACAGATACGAAAGATGAAAGCTAAAAGAAGCTAGGCAGAAAGATGCTGGCTACAATCAAAAAATAGGTTCATATCAGTTTATTTTATCATGTAAGGTAGAAGACAGATGCTTACATTGTTTGAGAAAGTTGACAGCATTGTATGAAAGAAAAATAGATATGAATAAAGTTATGCTTATTAAAAAGCTTGTAATTTTACAGTACATGGATGGATGATTGGTTACAAAGCCCTTGAGTGATTTTCAAGATATATTTAATTAGATGACTACTATGGAGTTAAGATGGATGATGAAATGAAGGATTGTTTCTTTCAGGTTTATTGCTAGACAGTTGGAATACTCTAGTTGTGATTGTTATTAATTCAGTTCCTGATTATAAGGTGATATTGGATATGTTAAAGGACAATATGCTTAATGAAGAAGTAAGGCGGAAAATATTAGACTATGAAAATCAAGCTCTTGTTATAGAGAACAGGGAAACTCAAAAGGTTGTAGTAAATCTAAACATTGATCCAAGTCTAGAGATAAAATGAAGTATTTTCATTATGGTAAAACAGGTCATATAAAGCGATATTACAAAATCTTGAAGCAAGAGTGGAAAGATAAGAAAGTCAAGAGTTCAGAAGATAGCAATGTTGCAGCAGTGAATTCAAATAGTGATTCAGTTACTTTGATTTGTGCACATGGTGATTATAATCATGTTGGTGATCCTAGCATTGAGTGGATAGTTGACATAGAAATGACATATCATTGTGTTCTTAAGAAGAAGTTGTTTATAACTTAAAAAGCAAGAGACTTTGATTGTATCAAGATAAGAAACAAGATTGTGTCGCAGATTGTTAAGATTAGTGATATTATTGTACAAACTAGTATAGGTTGCATGTTGACTTTGAGGGATATTAGACACATTTCAGATATGAGAATAAACTTACTTGCTATTAATGTTTTGATAAGGAAGGATATGAGAGCCAACAAAAAAAGGGTACTGAAAGCTTCTCAAAGGATCCATGGTAGTTACAAGAGAAAAACTATGCTGCATAATGCACAAGACATGGATACAATTGAACAGCAACCAGATAAATGCCGTTAAGGATGATGCTTCAGCAAATATGTGGCATAAAAGGTAGGTACACGTGAGTGAGAAGGGGTTACAAATTTTGCAAGGCAGTCTCTCATTACCTTGACCAAATATGTCTCTTAATTCATTTAATCACTATTTGTTTGGCAAGCATCGTAGAGTTTCTTTTCGTAAGAGTTCTCACAAAAAAAAAAATAGTGTAGACATCCATTTTCGTCTAGGGTACGATCAATTTCTCAATTTGGATATCTTTGAGATCCTCGAGCCTTGAAAAGGTTTGTGTTTAGGCTTCTTACATTTTTTATTATTTTGTTTAGGCTTTAAGCTTGGTAATTGTTGATTAAATGTAGGCTTTGATCCAACCAATATTGTTGTTGTTGTTGTTGTTGTTATTATTATTATTATTATTATTAATTTTATTTTAATTTTTCTTTCCTTTCTTTCTTTTATTCACGTGCAAATTCATTAACAAAACTAAAAAAAGAAAAGGAAAAATCAATAGTTTAGGGATTTTAAGCAGAAATCAAGTAGAACTTTTCTAAAGAGATTTGAGACTAATTAATCATGATAAAGTCCTAGGATTTGAGCTTGGATTAACTCTGTTTAAGCCCTAAAATCACTACTAAAATATGTTACAAATTGAACACAAAAGCACAATGGAAAATAGAGAGGGAGGTTGGTGTGAAAAATAGTTTTGACAAGTTTGAGTTTTTGTGAAAATTGTTCTTAGTTTTACGATTCAAGAATTTGATCTTTAGTAAAATTTTTTTTTGGGTTTCTGGGAAATCTGGAAAAATCTGGGTTTCGGGTTTGAAGGTTTGAATTTTTTGATTGAATTTTTTAATGGGATTTGAAGTTTTCGGTCAACTTCTAACGATATTTTCTAGAAACTGACGAATTGCTTGGTTTTTGATGATTGAATTTGGGAATTCTAGAGAGAGGCGAGAGAAAAATTCATCCTAGAGAGAGAGGGCTAAAGGTTTCTGAAAAAAAACTAAAAAACTTGGCTTTTATACTAGCAACAAATGACGCCGTTTCATTTAACATAACCCACGTGGATTCACACGTAACCCACTTCTGGATCCGACCCGATCACAGGTTTTTATTTATTTTATTTTATTTTCTATTTATATTTATATTTATTTTATTTTTCTAGATTTTCTTATTTATTTTATATTTTATATTTCATTTTTTTGTTTTATTCTTTTTAGATTTTTTAATCTTATTTATTATCATTATTATTATTCTACTTATTTTTAAATTAAATAATTTATTTTAAAGACTTTCATAAATTTCATTTTAAAAAATAAAAAATAATAAAAAATGTTTTTAAAATGAATTCATTAATCTTACCAAACTATTGGAGGTTTTTTCATGAATTTAAATTTTTTATGAATTCTACCAAATTATAAGAAAATTTCATAAATTGATTGTATAAAAAAATAATTATTAATAAAATATTTTGTATTTTATCCTACCAAACTATTGGAGAATTTTCATTGCAAATTAAATCTTACCAAACTATTAGAAGATTTAATATATTTTCTAAAAAAATCTTATAATAAAATCTTACCAAATTATTGGAAGATTTGCATTAAAATAAATCTTGTCATACTATTAGAAGATTTTACTGATTATTTCTTTAGCTAAAATTTAAATGAATTCAACGATGAAGCTTTTTTAAAGTGAGGCATTAGTCTCCATGAATACTTTTAAGGTGAGAAAATTATCTTAAATTGCTACCAAACTATTGGAGTAATTTTAAGATCAATTTTCAATATTAAATATTTTGGTAAATCATAAATATGTTTAAGGCTTGGATAATTTGAAATCAAACTAGTACCATCTTTTAAATAGGCACTGCAAGGGTGTTATAACCTTTCTCACTCGTAACCGCATTTTTGAACCTAAAATATAGTTTTATGGAATAAAATATACTATTTAAAGATATCTAAGTCCATCTTAGGACTCTTCTTTAAATATAATAGATTTTGTCAAGTGACTAATCACATCTAAACAAAAAAGATTGGTGGCGACTCCTAAAGCCTATGTTTAGTGGTAGGTCAATGAATTTTTATGTTATGACCAACAGATTAGAATTGATTCACTTTTACTTATGTGGACCCATTGAGGTTGAGTCATTAGGTGGTAGCAGGTATTTTGTTACTTTTATTGATGATGCTTCATGTAAGATTTGGTGTATATGTTGAAAAACAAAAGTCAGGTATTGTAGTATTTTTAA